TGAGTTGAGCAGTCTTCCACTGCTGTGATGCTTCTGCCTTGGAGCCAGCTAACCATGGACTGAACCCTCTGAAACCGTGAGCCTCCTTTATGTTGCAGGTATTAAGAATTTGGTCTCTGCAATAGGAAAGGCAATCGATACAGAGGGCAACATTTAGAGTGGGGCCCACTCTTGACCACGAAGGTGGAGGGATGCCAGGAGCAGATTCTAGTGCTGGAAAACCAGATTCTAGTTTCACCAGGAACGAAACCATAATTGGGACACCATCTGTAAAAGTAGCAGCAGCAACTAGTGGCAGATATAGTTCTATTAGCTCCACTTGAGGGAGGTCTGGGGAGGGGTTTGGGATGTTCTCAAAGGTAGAGTTTGAGTTATATATAAACTGGGCCCTGTAGCAGCCAGTGGAATTTGTTAAGTCCTGTGGATGCATATTCCTGTTGTCTTGTTTGCTCGTGTGAACATCTCTACCTGGGAGCAGCCGTGACTGTGGAGGAGGGATGGGGGAGGTGTGCTCTGGCCCTCTGGGTAAGGAGGCAGCAGCTCAGTGCGCAGAGCCCCAGCCCCTCTGCAGCGGAGACCACATGACTACCTTTTGGCCAACAGGAGGGAGAGGACATACTGTGTACAGTTTGTTTGGCACCCTCCTCTTCCTCTCCCAGGCTGGACTTGGACTTGGTGGTGGGTCAGCTTCACTCAGCACGACCAGGCGAGTGTGTCACAATGTGAGTGGTTGGTGCTCCTGGTGGGGGAGCCATTTGATCAACAAACGCAAAGGTCTCTCCCTTTGCCCTCTGTGCCTCAGTCTGGCTGGCCAACGTACTGGGGAGAGGGGCTCATCCCTCACCCCAAATTCATTAGCACCTACCCTCTTGGGTGGTTCTCTGGGAGGTCCCTGAGACCTTTTCACGAGGCCCTCGATGTCAAAACTATTCTGATGACAACATTAAGATGTTCCTTACCTTTTTCATCTTTTCTTTCGGTAGGGTATGGTGGAATCTTCCAGAGGCCATACGGTATGTGATGAATCATTACTCTGGTGGTGCCTGTATATTTGTCTTTAATATTTTTTTTCAGTTTTAATTTCTAATGTGATAAATATTGGTAGGTGTGACCAATAAAAGGCTGACCCTTAGGGGCCCTCAGTAATACTGAGGAACATAAAGCGGTCCTGAGGTGCAAGTGTTGAGATTGCTGGTCTCTTGTGGAAGCTTGAACAGAACCCACTGGCCTTGTGTCTGGGGTCAGGTGAGGCATCTTTGGTGCCTGAGATCTACCACCTCTTTACAGTGTGTGTAACGGCTCTGTCCACACTATTTTACAGCCTGGCCAGTTCCAGCTGGTGGGCATGGATGCCCCTTGGATGGTAACATTCTTTTGGGTACACAATCCCTGAACCACCCCGTCTGAGTAGCTGGTCAGTGAGGACAATGATGGCCTGGGCAGAGAAGGGATGACAAGAAACCAACATGGATGACTTGAGGACCCTAAGGGGGAAAAGGCATTTTTCTGAAGACACATGAATTAGGACAAAGGGGAAATGTTACTTATCCTGGATCATTCTGGCAGCCGCTGCATTAAATTTCTATATATGCAGAAATCAGCTTATGAGTAAACCCAGTATTTCTCCAATGTTTTCCTTTGAATGGTTTGTCCTAGAATTTCAGCATCGCTGTCTGGGGTCACCGCTGTCTGCCCACGTGTGAACATGAACCACGTGTCTGTCCAAGCAACCTTTGGGAGGGACTTCCTTGAGGTCTGTGTGCGGCACCGGGTGCAGGTGATGAGGCTGGGTCACATCCCCTCGGGAGAGGGTTCTTCCTGCCTCCTGTGGGTCTTTGTCACCTAGAGCTCGAGAGTCCCCAGTTTGTGATCATAATGTTAAGTGAAATAAACCAGGTCACATGAGAAACCCAAAGCATAAATAATTTAGAGCAAAATAAAAGATAACAGGAAACAGGGAGATGGATCTTTTGAAAGTGAGGAGGGGACCAAGAGATGGACGGAGGGAGAAGGGGAGGTAAAGAGAACGAAGATGTATCATGTACTTGTACCAACTCCCCATGGTCAGTGTAATCGTTACGTACCACACACGTGACCCAACAAGGAAAGCCAAGTCCCGTCCTAGCCGGCCCAGGGGTTTACGGCAGCAGGGAGGAAGCCTGGGCGCTGTGGCCATGGGGAGTCCAGGATGTGCCTTGGTCCAAATTCTTTTTGGTATGTTTGTTGTTTTTGTTTTGCAGTTCTGGGGATCAAACCTAAGGTTAGGCAAGGACTCTACCACTGAGCTGCATCCTTAGCCCCAGGCCCAAGTCTTACTCTGTATTCCTTCCCCCTTCTGGGGAGGCCGTGCATGTCTAAGTACTCCGTGACCCAGAGCGCCCGTGTCAGTAGGATCACTTTCCTCTCCTCACTGGTCACAGAAGTGGAGCACAAGTCGTTACTGTTAGGCTGTAACAATTGCTTGTGTTCTTGAAAAAAGATGCAGAATTCAGTGGTTTAGCAGTTCCAAATCCAGGTCTTTTTTTCCTTGAGCACCTGAAATGTACTGACACACATTTCATGAGGCTGCCTGTCTGCCAGTGTCAGGCTTGGCTCCTCAGGAAGACAGGGGGAGGGGTTTCAGGCCTTTCTTCCTGCTGCTGTTTCCGGCCTCTTCACAGCACTGCCCTCCGTGCCTGTAGCTCCTGTCTTCACGAAGACAATGTTACGCTGAGTTGGGACTCACCCTAATGGCTGTATCTTAATTCTGTTGCCTCTATAAAGACCTGCTTCTAAACAAGGGCATCTGTTGAGGTATTGGATATGCTGTAGATTACATCTTTAAAAATTTTTTGGCAGTGCTAGGATAGAACTCGGGACCTTGCATATGCCAGGGAAGTAAGCGCTTACCTACTGAATGGCCCCTCCCTATTTTTCTTTTCTCAGTTGCCCAGGCTGGCTTTGAACTTGGGATCCTCCTGCCTCAAGTCTCCTGAGTAGCTGGGATTAGAGGTGTGTGCTCCACACGGAGCTAGTTTGGATCTTTACTCTTACTCGGCCTTCAGCCCAGAGTGCTCCTGGGAGGTGGTGGGGCGCAGTGGGCAGGTGTGAGGTGCGATGCCCTCGGGTATCCTGGGACTCCAGGCCCTCTGCTCTGTGCTTCCTGGCTGCTGTGGGGTGAGTGTCTTCCTCTGCTGTGCATTCTCATGTTTCTTCCTTGCCACAGACCCAAGACTTAAGCCAAGCAGCCATGGACATGAGCCTCTGGGAAACCGTGAGCCGAAACAAACTTCTCTTTTTAAGTTGATTTATCTCGGGTTATTTGTCAATGGCAACAGAAAGCGAACACATAGAAAATTGGCACCAACCAATGGGGTCACTGCTGTGGCTGTACCTGATGGTGTGGTTCAGAAGCCTTTGGGATTGGTCTGAGAAGGTTTGGAGGGCCAAATGCCCTAAGGGGAGTTTGTCGTGTGACTCTGGTGAGGGCCAACAGGAGTGTGGTCATGAGGTTGCACATGGAAATAGACTCCACTGGGAACTGGGCTGGAGTCCACCCTTGTTATTCCTTGGCAGAGAGTTTAAGGACATTAGTTACATCGACGCCCCGAGACTGAAGAAAGCCTAGTGCTCTCAGGCAGTGGTGTGCGAATGACTGGCTGCTTTTAGCCAAGGCAGACGCAGCTGCGTGGAGAGGAGCAGAGGGACACATTTGGAAGGCGTGCAGCTTGCTTCTGGAGTGCCGGGAAGGCGCGCCAAGGAGGGGGCACTTGCTAAAGAGACGAGTGCGCCTAGGAAGGAGACAACAGGAAGGGTATCTCGTGCGTCTCAGGAACGGCCAAGAACTACCCATCCCATCTCAGGCTCGGGAGTGTGGCTCGTGTGTAGACGTTCATTCGAGGAGCCCGCTGGGGCACTGTGCACAGGGCCACCTGGGGACTGTCCAGGCTTTGTTGCTGTGTGCAGCCGGCACGGCCTTCAGAGCCACAGCAGCTGAGGCCCACGCGGGTCCCGCTTCGGTCGCACCCGCGGCAGATGGCGGTGTCGTGTGATGCCAGTCATGCGGCCGTGAGCCGTCAGTCTCCTTCAGCAGCCGCCCACAGAGTGTGTGTGAAGCTACGTGGAATCCCCAGAGAGTACAGAATGCTTGCCGAGGGCAGCCGCAGGCGGGGCACAGAGACAGCCTAGGAGACGGCGGGGCAGCAGTGGGAGGCCACTTGGCCGCGGTGTGCCCAGGTGCCAGGCTTGGAGCTCTGGTCCTGCCTCGGTCTTAGCCTTCCTTTCTGTGGTGCCCACCCCTCCCTCTGGCGTGGGTGTGCCCACCGTCTGCCACCGATTGTGATTGTCGTAACTTTGATTTTTTTAAACAGGGGCTCATAGCTAAGTTTGCCAAGAGTCTCTGAGGAGACTTTGATTTGGACTTTTGAGCCAGTGCTGGAACTGTTGAGACTCAGGACCTCAGAGAGGTTGAGGACATTTTGCAAGGAGAGATGGAGCTAAGCATCCGAGGGCCAGGGGTGGAAGGCTCGGCCACCCCCGCCTGCGGCACTGCTGGGCAGCGAGGAGACCTAAGAGGCGGTCCGCGCGGAAGGAAGGAAGTGGTTCGCTGGCCCTTTGAGCAGCTTCACTTTGGCACGCATCCCTGCCACGATACCCGAGCTGCCAGAGGCCCAAAAGCCCCGAACCTGTGAACTGAAAGAAGCCTTTCCTCCTCCGAAGGTGAGTGTTTCTCAGCACCTCGGGACTTGGGATTCTGTCTCAGGTGCTGCCTGGGGGTTACGATCCAAACCTGTACGGCAGCAAACACCAAGTGAGCACAGGGCTGTCCACTGGTTCCTTTATTTATGTGGGATGGAAGGGGAGGGACACAGAGTTGACAAGGATCTGGGGGTACTGAGCTGGAAAGCAGCGACAGTTTCTGCAGTTGAAAAGGAGCAGGGCACGTCTGTCAGTACCTGGTGCAAGTTTTGTAAAAAACCCGACCTTTCTGAACGGGTACAGTGGATACTACTTACTTAGCACATTCGGACACGCTTCTACCATCTCGAGATTTTATATATACAGTATATGATCTGTTTTTCTTTTTCATAAATGTACAGCTTGAGAGAGATCCTTCTTGTAATAAGTACAGCATTACACATAACACCCGCACAGGCCAGCCTCATTCCATCTGAAGACCCAGAGAAAGCAAGGCCAGGGCCCGTGCTAGCTGGGCACTCTGTGCCCCACAGTGCAGTCCTTCTTGTCTTGAGGTCACAGAGGAACGTGTCAGAGACGGAACGGGGAGGACAGAAATGTGCTCTTCGATTCAAGGCACTTGTCAGGGGCCCCCACGGGCTTCTTTGGGCCTGGAGAGCCAGTTGCTATTGGGAGAGAAGCCAACAAGGTCGAGCGCCCTTGCTTGTCCTCAGCAGGTTTAAATACAATAAATAAATCTAGCTGGGTGGTGCTTTTGCCCTCCCGGCTCCTCCGAATAGGCTCCCTTTCAGGATCATTTACAGAGTGGTGCTCCGGCCCTCACTCCACTTCTCAGGGTCCTCCGTGTGGAAGGTACCTGCACAGCTCCGGGCCTTGGAGAAGCGCCTGCTCACTGTGGATCAGAAGGGGAACCCCGAGATGTCCCCTCCCCCGTCCGTGACAGTGACCGGGCGCCTCACATCTTGGCCACGTAGTTGTTGGGGAACAGGCCCTGCTTGCCTCGTAGCCGACCCGTCCACCAGCCGGAGGGATCTGCAGTGGGGACACAGAGCAAGAGGAACGGTGAGCAGGGCTGCGCCACTGTGTGCTTTTCCTCTTTATTACGGGAAACTTTGCGGTGAAAAGTGAATCTGCGGCAGATGAGCTGCCGCGAGGGGAGACCGTGGCCAGCACCAGGTGCCTGCCTGCAGGCTCCCCATTCCTAACCCAGCTCAGAATGATTCCCCAAGAAGCCTTCATCGTCCTGACTTGTGTCCCTTCCCCAGGAATTAGTGTTAGAACATACTTTCCATACTGCTCTGTGCATTTATAAAGATGCGCAAATCCATTTCAAACAAGGCATTTTGTATCTGATTATTATGCATCTAGCATGTATCTCATTGTTAAAACAAGGCCACCGTACTGATGTTCACGCTGCTATTCCCTTATCGAAGGACATCTGTTCCCAGTTTTTCGTTTTATTTGTGCCCACAAGTAAGCAGTTCTGTAACACACACTCCCAGCTCTAAGAACGTGGACCTTCAATTATATGAATATTTTAAATGGTGCCAGGTTCACCTTGCATATGAGGTAGGTCTTCTACATCACTGAGCCGTACCCCTGGCCCCGTCATCATTAAAAAAAAAAATTAATTTCAAAAGCAGTGAAAACAGTACGTATTCATAAAAAAATTATTCACATTGGTACACAACTGTTAGCTTAGTGTAGGTTTTGCAGTTTTTAAACCCTTAACACACACAAAGGACATTTCATAGCATTGTATAAAGAGCTTCTGTATTCTTTCCAGCTGTCATTTGTACGGTTTGCCTATTTAGTTCCTGGGCCTTTTCCTTGTTTGGGAGTTCTTTATTATCAGGGAGTTTGTCATATGAGTTGTGACACTGCCCTCATTTTTGTAACTGTTTTTGTTTTAATATTGAAGTAGTTGAATCAGCAGGTCTGTTGTTTTACATGGTTTTCTATCGAAGTTGGAAATCCCTTCCCACACTGATGTAATTCACAGAGAAAACTCACACTTCCCAGGCTTGTAGGCTTTCCTGGACACATGAAATATTTTTCTGGAATTATCTTGAGGCAGGAGGTGAGGAGTAAAGCCATAGTAATGATTCCGATAGGATCAGTGAAGAATTCTGATAGTTACTGCCAAATGTCCTCCGAGATGAAGTACTGAGCTAAAAAGTGTGCCCATTTCCACGATTAACAAGTTATGACTGCGTACACTTACTGTGATGACAAAATCCAGGAAGTTCTCAAAACTAGAAGTTTTTGGTAAACTCGTTTGTTGGCAAAACTTGGCCTGAACGATGCAGAATTGTTCATGGTGTCCCGCCTGAGTGTGGAACACTCGTGTTTCACAGCGGAAATACGGAGTAAGAGCTGAGCACCTGCACCGCCTGGCGGGTGGCGTCTGCCCTGCTATTCACTCCCTAAGGCGCCAGGTTTTGCTTCTGACACTCAGTGGGGTGTGCTGTGCCTCACACTGTTTGCTTCGTGTTTCACTCACGGTTCAGGACGCTCTGGTCTCCCCATCTGAGGCCTTTGGGACTGGATGGACTAGTTACAAGGAGGAGCTATTTGTGAGATGTTTTTTTTCTGGGCTGCCTTCTATCATTTTTACTTTTTTCATGGTACATTTTAAAAAAAACACAGAAATTTGCAGTTGCACCTTTTCATGATGTCAAGTCCTGCTTGGTTTGTATGTTTTTCTAGGTTTCTTCCTAAGACTTCTACAATTTAATTTTATGGTTTTAGGCCGTCATCTGATATACTATTTCTACCTCAGGCACAAAATAACCATTTTCAAAATGGAAAGTAGCGGGTTGTCCTTTCCCTGTGATTTAAAATGCCACAGCTGCAGGCCAATAATCCCAGCACTCAGGAGGCTGAGGCAGGAGGATCACAGGGAGTTCAAGTCCAGCTTGAACTACCCTGTCTCAAAAAAACAAACAAAAAGCCACAGTTATCCAATATTTTTTTTGTTTTGTTTTTTTGTACCAGGGATCGAACTCGGGTCCTTGCGCTTGCAAGGCAGGCGGCGGAAACCGCTAAGCTAAATCCCCGGCCCGGTTATCCAATATTAAATGCCTCCATCTGCATGGTTTGGTTCTGGGTTGCACACACCACACTAAGTTACAGTGATGACTGACTGCATGTTTTCATAACTTCTAGGACATTTACCTACAAATAATCAGTTTAATTATAACCGATAAATGTGATTTCTAGGAAAATTTAAACATGCTGAGAAATGAGAGTAATATTTACTTATAAATCAACATGCAAGAGTACTTTTAGCATAGACATATTGCTGTGCAAATACTCGTGTGCCTATGAGTCTTATCTCACGACTGGTTTCTTTTTCTTTTTTGTGGCACTCGGGACCCAGGGCATTCTACCATTGAGTTATGGCTCCAGCGCTTTTATTTTTGACACAGGGTCTTGCTAAGTTGTGTGCGGGCTGGCCCCGCACTGCTCCTGCCTCAGACCCCTGAGTAGCTGAGCTGACTGGTTTGTGCCCTGGTACCCAGCATGTGTCCTTTTGTCTCATGAACATTTTTTCATGTCAATAGATATTCTGTGTTTTACACTAATAAAAAATGTTGGCATCAAAATTCACTGAGTGAATATAGCAGTTTAACCAGTCCCTTGTTAGGTCTTATTCAACATTTTTCTGAACAAGGCTGGTGTTAAAAATTCTGTCTCCTTTATTTAATCCTGACACCTCCAGGCCACTCCATCCTTCCTTTTGTCTCCATGACAACAGTTGGGGACTTTTACGCTGTGGTCCAGGTCAGGTTGTCGTCTTAGAGTAACTTTTTATTTTTTTCAGATAGGGTCTTGATGTATATATAGTTCAGGCTGGCCTCAAACTCACAGGGAACCTCCTGCCTCAGCCTCCCAAGTAGGATTACATATGCACACACCACCACTCCCAGCTTAGAATGACCCGCTTTTTCCAGTCTCCCTGATTTCGCTCTGTGGCAAAGAATTTTCCCCATCCTTCACTGGACTTTGACATCCCAACTCGGGAGCTCATCTCTATTTCCGTACACACCGTCTCTGTGTATCTTCTCTATCAAAGTGACACACACTCAGCCACGCTCCGTGCCCCTGCTCCCAGGGCGCTCACCTTCCTTGATGATATCGATGACGTCGTTGGCATTGAAGCTGAGCTCGTCCGTGTCCTGAGCGTCATAGGCGTACAGCGCCTTGCACTGCGGCACCTGGGGCTTGGGCTTGGGCTGGGGCTTGGGCCTGCCCCCCGCTGGCGGGGGCCGGCTGGTCGTCTGTCTCCGGACACTGTGGACAGAGAAGGCGGTGAGATGGGGCGTGCAGCGGGCTCTGTTGCACTCCCTGAACTTCGTCTAAGAATAGAAACTGCGCAGGGCGAGCCGCTGCCGAAGCGGAGTCCCGAACGCCGGTCGGGCAAGGAGGCTTCTAACCGAGCACCCATGCTGTGTCAGCGCTTGGCTAAGAGGCGCCGTCAGCTCGACAGCACAAGTCCTCTGATTCCCCAGCACCAGGAGTGGGAGGGTGGGTGGGCACGGGCACCCAGGGAGGAAGCCAGAAGCTGCACCGGCTCCCGGCGGGTGCGGGCTGGGGGCTGCCCCTCCTGCTGTAGGTCCCCCTATCCCACGGCAGTGGAGAGAGGACTCACTGAGCAGGCGTCCCCCTGCCTCAGGCTCTGCCCAAGTCCTCCCTTCCTCCTCCATGTCTTTGCCGGCCGCGGGCCCTGGCTCTCACCCTAGCCCAGTTTTCATTCGTTCACTCCCCCTTCCACCTGAAAGCCCTCTAACTGCTGATCGCTGCTCCTGGGAAGTGACCAGAACTCCTCACGGTGCCCCCAAAACCCCTGCCAGCTGTGGCCCCTGCTCCAATGCCGGCTGCAGCCACACAGGTTTCCCTCCTGACTTCCACATGGGCCCCCGCCGAGGGTGGGACCGCTGCCCATCTTAGGTACTCAAAAGACAAGACTTTCTCTGCCGGGGTCTCGGCCGCCATCATTTCTGTCCAGAGCTGTACTGAAAACTAGCCAGGGCTATCAGGCAAGAAAAAGAAAAGGCACCCAGATCAGAAAAGAAGTTAAAAGACCTCTACCTGCAGGTGAGATGCTGTTGTACATGGATAAGCAATATACACAAATTATGTATTTTCACTTGTTTTAGTGGCTTCAGGAAAATACTAAGATCCAAAAAATCAGCTAAGAGAACTGCAAATGAGTTCTACACAGAGTGCATCTCACCCTGGTCAGAGCGGCTGTCGTCAAGAACACAGCAGGGACAGGAACCCGTTTACACTGCGGGTGGGGAGCTAGGTTAGTACGGTCCTGCGGGAATCAGAACGAAGGTTCCTCCAAAGACCCAAATCAGCTACCACGTGAGCCAGCTATACCACTCTCTGACACACACCTCGAGCAGTTAAAGCCCGTATGCGTGGCACAGGGCACGCACGTACCCACGTTTATCACCCACCAAGTGTCACAGCCAAGCAGGGAACCCACCTAGGTGCAGGAAATGGATGGAGCTGGAGCTCACTTTGTTCAACAGAAGAAACCGGACTCACACAAGGATGTTTTCCCATTATGCGGAAAAGTAAGAAGATGGTGCAAAAGTAGGAGAGACTACGGTTAGACAAGAAGGGAATAAGGGTGGGAGCGCAGTGGGATGGAGAAGACCGACCTATGCACACTGAGACCCGGTATTTTGTGAAATTTCATAGCCACTAATAATTCTTCCTATAAAATCAGCTTATTTCTAAACACTAGCTGTGAGAAATTCACAGAACAGACAACATTCCCACTTATACTATAAACAACCATCCTCCTTGGTAAATTTAACACAAGTATGATTGTTTATGAAATGTGCCGACAGGGAGAGGGTGAGGGTGTGCCTGGGACTGGGGGGGGAGGTGAGGAGGAAGACGAAATATTCCAAAATTAGATTACGGTGGTGGCCGCACACCTCTATTTCAAACTGTTCAATTCTATATTTCAAATAGGTTGATTCTGTGGTTGACTTATTAATTACAGGGTCTCTGCTTTGAACTTGCTACAATCCTGCCTCAGCCTTCCTAAGCCAGGACTGCAGGTGTGCACCGCCACACCTGGATAGAAATTTGATCCTAATAAAGCTGCTTTGAAAGAGTAAACAGGACGGGCCTCCTTGGGCTGTGCAGACCACTCCTGCCGGGCAACGGCCGGAGCACCCCAGGGACTGGGTCGGAGGGTGACGGGGCAGAGGCTGTCATTTGGAGGTTGGCTGATCTCGGCCCCGTAGTGGGAGCTGGGAGGGGTCGGGGCCGGTGGCTGGGCTAGAGGGAGACCTGAGCGCTGCGTTCCATGGGAGCCACTGGAGGTGCGGGTGGCTGGGCGGAGAGGAGGCCTCTGCCTACTGCATCAGCAAGGGTGCTTTCAGCAACACCGAGGTCCCCACTGCCTGCTTTTTCATGAGATGAAGAAGGGGTACGTGAACTCTTGGCAGCGCCGAGGGGCACGGGAAGCCCACACCAACGGAGCCGTCACGGACCCCATTCCCATTTGAGCCTGGAAACCAGCGCAGAACAGGGAGCTGGCTCTGCTACGGGAAGGCGCAGCCGCTGCCCGCGTCTCCCGGGTGCCACTAGGTGGCGATCGTGTGTAATAATGAGAAGTAACAGACCTGCCAGACCCGGATGAGGTCGCCCAGGCGCCTGTGGCCCCTGTCCCTGCAGAGGAGACTGACCAGCCTACCACGAAGGATCACAGCCGCCCACCCAGCCACCTGGAACTGCCCAGGCCAGCTCATGAAGCCCGCTGTTAAAACTCCCCAGGATTTTGAAAGTTATTCAACACGACCGTCAGTAAAAATTAAATCATGTAAAGTCAATTGAGTAAATTATATAAAAGCAAGGGCAATAAACGCACATAACTCATCTAACTCCTAATTATGTCTATTTCTGCTCTTGAAAATGTCTATCGCCGATGAATGGGAAACTACTGTAACCGTGTGTAGCCGCCCATCTATCCATTGTCCTGTGCTTGGCAGTGGCCACACCGGGGGCATGAAAATGGTCATGGTAAGGTCTCCCCCCCGACAAACTAGGCCAAGCTTGAGCGAACTTCCTGTCTCAGCCTCCCAGAGTGCTCTAATTAGAGGCTTGTGCCACCATACTCAGCTATGGTGAGTGTATTTTAACCACAGAAATTAGCAAAAGATCCAGTTGTCTTTCTTTTGGTTTTTTGAGACAGGGTCTCACTATGTAGTTGAGACTGACCTGGAACTCATTATGTAGCCCAGGTTGGTCTTGAACTCACAGCGATCCTCCTGCCTCAGCCTCCCGAGTGCTGGGATTACAGGAGTGTGCCACCACGCCCGGCTAAAAAGATCCAGTTTTATCACAAGGTTCTGGTGTTTACCAGCAACACACCATGGTCCCCATGACACCCACATAAATTCTGGTCTAAAAATGCTTTGCCCATATCTGTTTTGTACCAGCAAGCTATGCAGGATTTGGGATAATCTGGCACCTCTAGTATTGCTCAATCTTTGTTTTTCTAATAAACCTTAAAAGACTGAAAATTGTATTACTGGGATCGGGATGAAGCTCTGTGGTGCTGTGGCTGCCTGGCGAGCATAAGGCCCCGAGTTCAATCCCTGGTACTGAAAATGATAAAAACAATGATCTCATTGGGATAATGGGGGTTGCGCAAGATTTTCAGATTTATAACAAAACTGGTATCCCGCGGACTTACTTTGTACACGTGGATATGTCTATATGCACATAGCATTCTAGAATAGAACTCTACCTCTCTGAGCAAAACCAGGGCTTCATTATATGTAGCTTTTGTACAATGCAGTTTAGTTTCTCTCGTCTTTCTTGTCCATCATTCCAGGTCAGTCTGTCCGTACTCGCCACCTGGTCGTGTCTCTGGCCCACTACTCACACACGCGAAGAAGCTGAGCTGCGACGACTCCTTCCCGCACAGGGCCCTCTTCCTGAACAATGCACTCGCACTCGGATGCACAAGACAGACGGCCTCGGAGGCAGGCGGCACTTCCCGTCCAGTTTCCCAATGCGAAGCACTGCAGGGCCGTCCCGTATCTGGCAGGGAGGACGAGTGATGCCCTGTGCCAAGATGTCAGGATGCCCGTTGGCATTTGAGGCCTTGTGGACAGCTGCTGAACCAAGTTGCCAAAAACCCACCAGGAAACAAAACACCAGTGATACCAAACAACAGCTGGCTGGTTCCCTCTGGCCCAGCATGCCCACCTTCCATGGGATGTGTCTGTCCTTGCGTCTGAGTGGAGCGTGTGACTTTTCCATCGGCCTGCAGAGCACCTGCGTCTAGTGACAGGGACGCCATGGGCCGGCTCTGTTCTGCTGTGGCTCTGTACTCATCCCATGGGGCGCTGTGGGGAGGGTCCTGGTCCCCCTGTCCCCCTGCCCTCTCTCCCATTCCAGCCAGCAGCCTGCAGCATAGACCGCAGGGTTCACTCGACCCTCTCAGCCCTGCCAACTGGGCATGGAGCCCAGGGCCTCAGGCGGGCGGGCAGCTGCTCCCCAACTGCCCACACCGTGGGACGCAGCCCTGGGAAGTGGGTTGCTGACAACAAGGAAACGCTCCCCCACATCCTAGTGCAAACTTAACATTTCTCTACAAGACCAAAGTAGATGAGTAATGGCCACGGAACGAATGCCAAAGGGTCCTCCGGCTGGGGAGGCAGCTCGGGGAGAACACGAGTGTGAGACGCTGGTTCAACCCCAGCTCCTCCAACAACAACACACTCACGTTGCATTGTGATTTAAGGCGATATTCCGTCTTCAAGAAAACCCCCATGAGTGGGTTTTTAAATCATCTTATCGTTTTACTCTATTCTACACCAAGAGGACACGAGGGTGTAGGAAGATCAAGGGACAAGCATCGGGCGTCACATGGAAGACGAAGCAAGTACCGGATGAGGGAAACAGGACGCGCCAGGCTCACCCCCAGGCCTTGCAACGGCAACTCCCTCTGCGCGCACACCACTCTGTGCACACCACCACGCCACCCTCTGCCAACTTCTTGGTCGCTCCCACCAGGCGGGTGAACCTCATCTATGCCAGGGAGAGCTGGGATTAGGCTCTAAAATATCACCTCTTTGTTCTGCAGATGTGAAATTTATGTCTTGAAATTCCAAGGAGGAGAATAATGGCATTTTATTTCATTGGCTCTTAAAATGATGCCGGGTTCCAAGAGGTTGAATCTATAAACATTACTGGAAATGTGGGAATGGATGCCAGGAATTCCTCAACTCTGTCTGCCTGGGCCAGGTTATGGCTGCTGCCCCGGTAGGTTATGGGTTGAGAAATATTGCTATTGGACACTTGCTGGAAATTTTAAGCTCCTTGGAAATACGACTCCATTAGGAGAATCTTTACTAGAGACAGGCAGCATTTACATTTTCTGTCCACTCCGCTTTTGTGGCATGGCCAGGAGCCCTACCCCTGAGCACTTGCCATTTTGTTTTTCTGTTTCCCCAATTTCTAGTTTGATTCATCTCTGGAGTAACTTGAAGTTTCCTAAAGTTGTCCTTTCATGAAACGAGCCATAGGTCAAAAAGGGCCACAGACGTTTCCAGACTGGGTTTTCACGCTCCCAACAATGAACTGCAGGGAGGTGACATACATTTCAGTCACAGGAGGGAAGGCCCTCTGGCCATCAGGGTACCTGAGGAGTCATCGCTCTCGTTCTCTTAGCTCTATTTCCTTGAAGGTCAGGAAGGATCTTTATCCCGACTCAGACTTTTCTGAAGCTGTGCTAAGGGCTGCGCTGTACTGATTCTCTCTGCACCTCAGTGTTTTCCTGAACAGCGATAATGATTATGATAGTGACCTCCGTGTGCACAAACCCTGTAACCCAGGGCGGAGAATCCAGCTGAGAGGGAATCTGGCGAAAGCTTGATGCTGTCTCCAGAAACTACTGACTGAACCCAAAATAAACTGATACAGACTTTCCTAAATTAACTTCAAGTGCTAATTACACCATTTGATTATGTATCCACATTACATGATCTAAAAGCACTGATTTCTTATCCTAAATTTGTGTGTAAGAAAAAAGTACATTAAGAGGGGAGGGGAGGAAAAGGAAAGATCAAGCCAGGGCGTGGAACCCTAGGAAGGAAAGACTGGAAATCTTACTTTTATACACTGGTAAATTCAAGGTGACCCCCTGGAACTTTGATGTAAATAAGAATCCTCATGTTGGTGAAAGACACAATTATCAAAATTCCCTGGGTGCTCCTACAACCTCCCATAGAATAAATGCAATTCCTGTTTTCTTGGCAAGGAGCAGCAGCTGGTATATTCAGGTAACCATGTGGCTCCCAAAATGCCACGACTGAGGACTCTGGCCACGTTAGACAAGCTTTTCATTTTCACCTGTGTTTTAGAAAACACACACACACACGCGTGTGTGCGCTCAGCCCTTTGACCAAGCTCCCACTCCTTACACCACGTCTGACAGCAGAATCAGCCATGTCAAGAGGAAGCTGGCTATGATTCTTACAGCTATGGACTTGACGCACCCGATAACTGAGTTTTATGCAAAACAGCCTTTGGGAAAATCGTAACACCCAGCGGATGGTTGATATGGTGTCCTATCCTCCTGTGTCTAAGACAGCACGACAGCGACCTGGTCTGCAGGTCAGAAGGCTGCGAAGGGTGTGACAGACTCACACCGGGAACCACAGGCTGAGGGCTGGAAGGGAGCAGCCTCAGAGGAGACACGATGTTCCTAAATTGCCTACTTTTGGCCGACAGATGCTCCCAGCTGGCTCCCATGCAAGTCTGTAACTCGCAAAGCAGGCTGCAAAGACTGTTGTGCCTGCCAAAACCAAAGCAAGTAGGGAGCTAGCAGACAGAGCTAAGGGATTTGGTGCTTTCTGTTGATTTCTTTTAATCCTCTGTCGACTCTGGGATACGAAAGCAGGCGTAGGACCAACTGCGTGAATATTTGAGGGACCTTCCACCTGAGCAGTGTGGCTCTGGGTCTCAGAGTGAAAAACTGTAACCTGAGCGGCGCCGTTCCAGGTCCCCTGGCCACGGAAGCTGCCCGGCCTTACCAATCAGACCACGGGTGGGCTTCAAAATGCAGCCCCGGATCAGCGGAGACTGGGAAGGTGGTAAAGAGGCGAAGGGGTGCGCACACCCCAGACCTACTGAGGCAGCGAGTCTGGGTGTCCGGCGTGCGCTCCGGGTGACACCGGTGCAGACAGCCACTCGGGCCAACGATGGTCATCGGAACTGGTCGGGTGCAGCTCCTCACAAGGAGGTGGTGACGCGGGGAGAGGGGACGCAGGAAAAGGGAACCGTAGGTGCCTTCCGAGCTGTGAACTTCCTCACTGCTCTGCAGACTCAGCGGGATGAGAAATGACGTAGGGAGAGAGGAGTGAGTGCGCACGGACCAAGCCACTAGGCCCAGCAGACACCACTCAGAGCCAGGGCACCTCCAGGAGAGGAGGATCCCTTCGACACCACCACGCAGCTCCTGCAGGAGCACAGGGCCGGGCCCCATCAACCCTGTCACCGTCACCGCCGTCGGGCTACCGGCAGGCGTATCTCCTGAGAGCCGGGCACAGGAACACTTCACCGATATGGTTTCTCTCAACCCTGCAGGCGCAGTGGCACAGCGTGAGCGTACGGAAACGCATGCTGAAGCTCAGCACGAGGAGCGGGGCCGCTTTATAGGGTAGGAGAGACCAAGGTAAGCTTCTCTTCCAGGTCCCAGCTGCCACACGACAGTGACACCCCACAACATTCCTGGTTGCTGACTTCCGGAACAGGAGCGTGCTCCTTCCGGCTCAGGGCAGTCTGTCTGCGAGGGGCCAGGAAACTTTTTTTACTAGAACCAAAGCCAAATGCTGGCCCAGCTCCTTCTCCGGCTTGCTCTTGGCTGTCCTCCTGTCCCTGTGACTCTGAAGGACAGGGTGAGTCCTTTGAAAATAGACACCGTATGAATTCTAGGGGCCCCCGTCCTTACACATCTTGGCTGTCTCTTCCAACCTCTCCTTTTCTTTTCTAGAAAGGCCGAGAGGTTCTCACTTTGAAGCTGTGAAGCTCTCTGTATTCTTAAACAACTACAGGAACAGACAGAAACCAAAACCCCACTATTCCCAGTGGCGCTGCAAACACGTAAGGCACACAGTAAGGTACTCTCAGGTGAGAAGGGACCCGGTCTCTGATGTCGCCGAGAGAAGCCCTCTGTGGAAAATGGAGTGAGTTCTCCGCTGTCACCTTAGCTGTGCCTGTGGAAATGCCAGCCTAGGCCCCCAAACCTCGGTCTGGGTCAGAGTACCTAAGGGGAAACCTATGCTTTAGAATCACACCTTGACAACCCACAGCATCCTGGACCCCTCAGCACAACTGGTTCGGATGCAGCTTGCTGCCTCACTCAGATACCAGGAATCTTACCCTGCAGCACCCTGGTCTGGGACCTTGAGGAAATCCAGGCTCTCTGGCGTCTGTGACAATCGGTCTGAGCCTGTGGACTGTTGCCGCGGCAACGGGGGGCGGGCCATGGAGGTGTACAGGCCCTTCTGATTGGACCTCTGGTTTCCAGGCGCCTGGGGGTATGGCACAAACTGGTTTTTGATGACACCGTTCTGCTGGTGGCCTAGGAAGAAGAGAAGAGAAGAAAGCTTAGATTGTCCGGTCCTTGCCAAAGAGTTTCCACATTTCTTCCACCTGCTAGGCAAGGGCGAGTGGCTTACCCTCGCAGTGACCCCATCGGGAAGGCGCGGAGCGCACGGCTGCGCTGCTAACACAGTGGACGAGAGCCCGCATATTGGTTTTCCCCCTACCGGCTTTACTGAGGTTCTAATTACAGATAAAGTTGTGTATGTTTAAGGAGTCGCGCTGACCATGTACTGCACACCGCCCAGCCCGGGCTGCGACACTCCCTCCACATGTGCTTTCTCAGTCCAACAGAAGGGAGCCAGGCAAGAAGGGTGAGCTCACAGCTAGCTGCAGGCGCTGCTTGCCTCTGAGAATGAGGTTGGGGCAAGAGGGCAGGCAGCTGTTTAAGCAGCTGAACACCCATTTCCGGGTGTGTCTGTGGCAGGGGGCTGCAGCGGGAGGCAGAGGGAGTGCTTCACAGGGTAAGGGAACCGTGGCCACCTGGCGGACCACTTTCTGAGCCAGACAGAGATTTCCAGTCAAGATCACAAAGCTGCACGAGGCAGGCAGTACTGGATGGATTCTGGGGACGGGCTCTCGGACAGAAGGAAGGGGCATGGTCACATCCTGCCGCGCACGAGAAGCCTCCTCTCCTCTCCCAGTGACAGATCTGTGTGTTGGACAACAAATCTCCCCAGGCCATTTCGGCACATTTACCAGAAAAACCCTTCCATCCTGTGCCCCAGAAGGACCCCTGTTTATAGTGGGTTTAGGATTCGTTCAGCCTCTGCTTCTGCCAGCTGCTTTGATCCTGGGCAGGTATCTCTTTGGATGTCAGTATCTTCATTAAAGAACTAGGTGGCTGGTCTAGAACACTCAGTTGCCTCCAGCTCTGACATGTTTTTCGCTATTTCTCTCTCATTGCCGGGCACCAGTGACCACAGTGTAGAAAACATCTGTGAGCTGGGCGCACCAGTGCAGACCTATATCCCACCATTTAGGGAGGCTGAGGCAGGAGGACTGCAAGATCAGGTCCAGCCTGGACAACTTACTGAGACCCTGTCTCAAAAAAGAATTAAAAGGCTGTGGACATAGCTCTGTGCAAAGGCCCTGGGTTCAATTCCCAGTACCACACATATGGAATAAGAGCTTTTGTAGCCATCTCTAGTTCTCCCAGATACTATTGTTGGGAACAGTCCTCCTGGATCCTATTTAAGAACAGACATTTCTTCTTGTTCATTTAGCTGTTAAACTGCAGACGCCACAGCGACACCCGGCGGGGCCAGGCTGACACCTGACAAGTTCATGCTGCCATAACAGCAGCATCCTACACTAAAACTGACAGCATTCTGGCTCCTGTGGGCCCGAACTCCTTCTGCCACAGGAATCTTTTCCTAAGGCAGCAACAGAGCCACGCAGTGAGGTCCAGATGGTCTCCTCTGCCGAATCCAGGCGGACTCTTCCTTCTCTGGAATTCTGGGGTCACAAGCAGGGCCAATGGACTGGTCAGGTAGCCTGTGACAACCAGATCCTACCCAGGACGCGTGCATTTCTTTGCTGATGGGTTTCTTCGCAGTCACATTTTGTAAGCTGTGTGTCCAGATCTGGCGCTCCCCTTTTATGGCACAAGCTGGGTTTACCTGGGGGAGGAGGGGCGGCTCTCATCGGGTAGTTGGCATTCTGAGTCCTAGAGGAATCATCTCTGCTTTGGGTAGTGTTCCTTCGGGTAGGACCTGAAAAAGACAAGCAAAAACAAAGCCACAGTCAGTTCATTGCTGGGTTTTATGGCTCTGGGTGGTTCTTTGGACACGGAATGCTTCTGAGAAGTTTGGGACGTGGCCAAGTTGGGTTTGCAGGAGGGTGGCTGCTGTGGAGACGGGATGTGTGATGAAGTCCTGAGCAGCAGCATTTAGAGGGAGGTTCACAGAGGTAACTGTGACATGTCAGAGAGGCGGGCCTGGCAGAGACAGAATCCTGCAAAGGGTTTCTATTTTGCTGACTTTGGAGAGAAGCCGATGGAACCACCTGCAGTCTGCACTCAAGCTCTAAACAATGCACAGGTGCTCGGCAGGTGGGCACTGCGATGCTGCCACCTGCGCCACTGTGGCACTCGCTGCAGATCTGCCTGTGTCTCTTCTTTCCTTTGAGGGCGCCTGTCCTTACAACAAAGCACCACACCGAGCAGCAGAACAGGGCCAGGTGAGAGCTCTGCAGAGACAGCTGTGATGGAAGGGAAACCAAGGGGTAAGGTCTCACTGGGACATGCAGGAGGGCGGGAGAAAGCCAGCCGGAAGAGGGGTGCAGTGAATGCCTCGAAGCAAAGCTGAGCATCACAAGGACAGACGGACAGACAGACGGCACATGGGCAGTGCGGGGAGAAGTGGCCAGCAGGGCTGCACTCCCACGTCCCCCTGGGGCCTGTGACACTGCCCGCTCTGTTGCCTGCAGGGCCTCCCTTCTCAACCAGCAGCACGAGGTGGGACAGGAGTGTGGCAGAGCGAGAGGCTGGGGGCTGAGTCTGCCCCGTGCCTCCTTCCTGCAGCTCCCTTTTCCCAGGCCTCTGCTTTGTTCTTTGAACTCTGCCCTTCGTCCTTTTATGTAAAATGTCCCTTCACACCTTCCACCAAAACGTGCTGCTACTCTGCAAGTAGCAAGTGATGCACGGACACACACGTGTAATGGCAGGGCAGCCCCACCTGTGCTGTGCCGACTGAACACAAGGCAGGGCATGCAGCCCTTGCAGGACAGATAAAGTCTCCCTTTATCTATGGTACCCCCTTCCCTGACCATGCACAGGCTGACGTTTAGAAAGATACTTGTTATGTGAATATATACAGCATATAGGCTTATTTTCTGCTCAGCATTGTAAGTTTAGAACCATCACTTATTGCTGGGCGTGGTGGCACATGCCTGTAATCCCAGCACTCCGGAGGCCGAGGCAGGAGGATCACTCCAAGTTCAAGCCAGCAGGGGCTACCTGCTGAGTCCAAGGCCAGCCTGCACTACACAGTGAGACCCTGTCTGAAGATGTATATATTGTTATATATAGAGAAAAAAGAATCAAAGGCCGGTGAGGAGCCAGCTGAGGTTTGAAGCCATGCACGTGTCTGAAGCATCTTGATCCCAGTAACACACAGTGAGGCCTGCAGGGTTGGTCCGTTTCTTTCAGATTGGCAGGAGGCTGTATCTGTACTACCGGTCAGACCTCACTGGAAAGGGCTGGCAAATTTGCAGCCCAAATGTTTTAAATGCAGACTTAGCATTATAGTGCCAGGTACATCCCATTAAGAACCGAGTCACTCGGAAGGGCTCATCTTGTCTTCTTTGCTGTCGCGTCGGTGCGCAACACCCCAGCGCTGAGAACGGCAGCGGGAGGGGACGCGGCTGCGTGCGGAACGATACTTACGGGAGTTCTTGGGCAGCCCGGGTCCGATGCTGACCTGCAGCACTTTGTTACTGGGCTTGAGGATGGCCTGGTCACCAAAGCCTTGGTGGAACTGCACCTGCCGGGAGCCCCCTGCACTCCAGGGACCCCAGTTCTCCTTTTTCAGCTTCAGTTCAAGCCTGCAACAGGCACGCGTGATGCAATTAGCAAACTGGACTGAGCCTGGGGCCGACGAGACGGTGCTACGGACCCCGCAGCTGGGACCGCGCGGCCGGGAAAGCTGCTGTTCAAGCAGGCGGGCCCAGACTGCCTCGACAGGTGCGTGGGGTGCGGCGCTCGCTGGTGTGGTGCCGCTGCTGGGGGCCCACGGTGGCACCGGAGGCAGAGACGTTCAGGGCCCAGCACCCTGAGAGCCCAGTTGGCAGGGGAGGGACCCATTTCATGGGCCAGTGTCACCGCCGCATGGGTACCGGGACCTGTGGTACCGGAAGAGGACCACTTCCCAGCCACACCTGCTGTCTATGTCCTTGTGCATCCACTGATTAGTCCTGGTCTGTGCCTGACAGGTGGCAAACACTCAGCACAGGATGTAGTTCGTTACTACCCAGTTAAAGCCTAACTTTCCCCCACCGCGCCCCACCCAGGAGGGGAGGACAATCCAAATCCCAGCACAGGGATGTTCGCCCACAATCCCCAAGCTCACCAGCCCGTCTGCACTTCTCCACACTGCCTGTGTGTCTAGATCAAGCGATCCACAGTCTGGTTTTTAACTTCCATGCCCGTATATTGTAACAAAGACAAGTGACAGCTTCAAGTAGCCATTCACTGGTCTCTCACTCAGCAGTCAGGCTTCCTAAGGGCCACACGCTTGTGAGTGGGAGGAGATGGAGGACAACTCTATTTTACAGATGGGGACATTTGGGAAGAAAAGCTATGGAACTCACTCAGCAAGTGGGAGATTAGAAGCTCCACAGGATGCTGGCGGCTGGCAAATTAGACCATGCTGCCAAAAAGAATGTAGGTTGGACCTGGAGTTTAGCTCAGTGGCACTGTGCCTGCCTCGAAAGCCCAAGGTCCTGAGTTTGATCCCCCGTACCAAAAAGCCAAACAAAATAAAACCAAAAAAAAAAGAAAAAACCCCAAAAGGAATGCAGGTGAGCTGAGACACAAACATTGGCCCTAACATGTCCTCAGCAGGTTTTATTAATTACCACTGGGGGAATCTGAGCCCCTCTTCCCTCACTGTAGTCTCCTGACGGCTCTGGTAAATAAGACACATATCTGCCTTGTCCTGCCTCGCATGGGTGGTCTCTGTCCAGTCTAAATGGTAAAACATCCCCGCCTGCCTTGCAGGCACAAGGACCTGAGTTCGAGCCCTGCTACCAAAACCAAACAAAACAAACTGTAACATATCCATTCCATGAAGTTACACTTCACAGAGGTGCAAGGGAGACCGTGTGAAGTCTGTGACAGCTGTCCAGGCCGTCTTTGCAGGCTGATTCCCAGGCCGGACCCCACATTCCCCTCAGGCTCCTGCCTGGCCCCCGGGGTGGGATGGATGCTCCTCTCGGGTTGACCCAGATCCCTACTTACGTGTTGCTGAATTTCAGAGGTAGGTGCTTCTGGGTTTTCTCCTCATAACGCTTGGCTAGGAGGCTTAAGAATTCAGTTTTGAAGACAGACTCAAGCAAACTGTCATACTCTTGCTCGTGGAGGATGAAAATGTCATCCTGCATGGTGCTGTGAAGAGATTTGGAAAAAATGAAAGCCGAACATTTAAAAAAAATTCCATCACTGACATTATAACCATTATTATTCGGTGCCGAGGAGCAGTTCAGGACTCTGCATGCTAAGCACACGCTCTGCTGCTGAGCTGCACCCCCGGCCTCCTGTCATTATTGTTATTGTTATGTTATTATTGCTGCAAAACCCCTGAGAGGGCTATGCTGCCCTCCTCCCTCCTCATTCCTGTTTCCCTCCATCCCTCTTTCCTTCTTTCCTCCCTGCCTCCCATGATCTGAAAACAAAACACTCGACACTGAATTCCATAATCAAATTGATAAAATCTGTTTTCACAGGAAGTTTATAGCTCACCAAGAATGTAGTCAAAATACTTCTTCTACGTGATTTTTTTTTTCCCCAGTACCAGGGATCGAACTTAGGACCTTGCCCTTGCGAGGCAGGTGCAGCCCCACTGAACTAAATCCCCAGCCCTCTACGTGATTTTTTTAAACCAACAATTTAAGGACAATTTCGCCTGTATTTTTAAAAACCCATTTCAAGATTCAACTTCTGAGTTCTCAAGACTGTAAAAATCCAGAATATTATGAATGGAATGCAGTTGAAAATGAAAATTCCATGCTAAATTCCAAGTTAGCAGAATTTATGATATGATCGTAGCTACTGTAATAAATCTCAGCTTGAAGAACTCTTAAGTGTGGTGACTGGAAGCGAAGCCAGCATCTTGAACTAACCCAGAACCTCCTGGCAGTGGGTCCCCTGCTTCTACTGCTGCCTGTCGCTACTGGATGGCGGGTCACGCAAAGCACAACAGATGAGGCAGGGTAAGCAGCAGGCAGGCTAAGATCAGCACCTCAGGTGACTGTGATGTGGACGGGAAGGAACACGCCACCGAGGGGCCGGAGTGTGGGCAGGTTAGGAGTGAGAGGAAACTCAGGCATAAAAGGGGCAGCACTCAGGAGGGACCCCCGGGGGGACTCGAGAGCAAGGCTGAGGCAAACCCAGTTGTGCCTTGGACTTAGCGGAGAGCGACAACACTCACAGAATTGGGAATTTCTATCTCTTAGCTGTTAGCCCCCACCCCAAAGACTGCAAAGGAGAGAAGGTGCTGTATCTCCAGGTACCTCCCGTCTTCGGAGGATGGGACTTCACCAGGGATTTTGTTTGTTGCAGGTACTAAAAACAGACTGGGGGAAAATCTCTTGCTCTCTTAATCAATATATTTTCTTCAGAATAGGGAAGTTTAGTTACAAAACAGTGCAGTTCTAAAGGAATCTTAAAAAAAAAAAAATCTAACAAGACAATTTCTAAGAACAGCCCTCCCTTAGTTAAAGCCTTTATAAAAGCTTTTCTTGATCATGGAGTAAATGCTCCTTTCAGTAAATTGGAAGATATAGAGCAAATGAAGAAAGTCAAGCTTGCCTGGATTCTGCCACTCAGAGAACCCCATGGCACCAGAAATCCCAACTCCCAGGCAGCGATGGGTCCAGCCAGGGGATGTGCTCAGTCCAACAATGACAACCACTTCCAGGTTCCCAGGAAGCTGAGATTTCCGGAGTGCTTTGGGCATTAGGCAAGGGCTGTGTTGGGGAAGAGCTACGTGACCAGGGACAGGTGCCACTGTGCATAGACCACGCTTAGGGGGCTGCTTTTCCCGCCACACACAAGTACGGGGAAGTCTGCTGACCCTGACTCTTAGCCGCTGGTATCCAGGGCTGGAATGGAGAAGTTATCAGGGGCCACAGCACAGAGAATCCCTGATGCAAGGCTCGATGCCTACCCAAGAGCGTGGTCAGGACGCGTCGTGGTGGCTTTAGCACAGAGCTTTCAGGTCAGAGTCAGATAAGATCAGGACTTGGATAAAAACTAAGTCTTCAAGGGTCCTTCAGAAACACATGCCCGCCTCTTGGCAGTGGACACAGCCACATGAACAGAAATCATTGTTCACTATGGGGGCACCACACCTCCTGACATCTGGCCAAGTCTCCAAGGAAGGCCTGAGGGCTCTGGGCTCATTTTTATACAAATGAGGATTTTTTTCTGTTCAAAGTTTCTTGGTGTCCCATTAAGCAACTGTGGTCTTTACCTCTCCCTGTGTCATTTGTCTTATTTCTACCTGGTGTAATCCTTTTTTTTTTTGCAAACGAAAACTTTAAGAAGTTTCAGTATTTAAAAAAGAAAATTCCTCAAAATTTAATGTGTACTGCCAGGCATGGTGGCACACGCTTATAATCCCAGCACTTGGGAGGCTGAGGCAGGAGGATTGCCACAAATTTGAGACCAACCTGGATGACATAGTGAGACCTGGTCTCAAAAGACAAAACAAAAAAATTAATGTTTACTAAAGGTTAAGAAAAATTGCTATGGAAAATTCCAAATATATACGCAAGTATCTAAGTAGAACAAATGGCCACATATCAGAAAGTTGTGGCAATGACAGATCCGTGAATGACTGTATTTATCGACAGCCTCTTCCCACTTCCCAAACTAGGTTATTTTGAAGCAGAATATAAATATTCTATTCACAAATAGCTCAGTTCGAATCATTAAAAAAATAAATCATTAAAAAAAAATCAGTGTAAATAAAAGAAAAACAAAATAGTACCACAGTACCATGATCATGGCTACGGAACAACAAATACTTTTCCATCAAATACTTAGCCGTGCAACCACCTCCCACACTGCCACACAGCCGTCTGCGGGTCCAGGCTGCTGTGAACAGAGAGCATGCGCCCACTCCACACCGGCCTGAGTGGTGCCGCAGGAGCAGAGAAGGGCTCAGGTCAGGCCGGGGACCTTCGGGCGGCTCACCTGGAGCGTTTCCAAGGCGATTACCAGCCTCACCATACTCAAGTCTGGTAAAGTCTTGAAAACACATACAGATGTCATAACTACTTCTGGGAAGTACAAGACCACTGTTAAATCGCTCCCTCGCTGGGACACACCCATGACCACACCGCCCCGCAGGATCATCCTATGGGGGATTCCCACTCTGGGCTCCATTCTGTACTCACAGACCCCTCTGGGTGCTTTCCCAACCTGGCTGCTGATTACTGGCCCAACACAAAGCAAACGAGGGAATGGGAATGATACTCAGCTTGGCAAGTGTGAGACACAGCAACTGCGATGTGCAGGCATCACGAGATAAAATGACTCAGGCTCTTTTCTTCCCCTTACAGCCGGGAAAACGTTTAGGCTAAGTACCTGGTTTTATCACATCCTATTTATTACATAAAAAGGAAAGACCAGAAGGAAGGGAATTTCTAGATGATGAATACTAAAGAGGATGAAGAGAAAGAAGTTGGAGTTTGCTGTGGTGCCACGTGCCTGTAACCCAGCACTGTAGGAGGCTGAGGCAGGAGGGTGTCAAGTTTAAGCCCAGCCAGGGCAATTTAGTGACTTAGCAAGAGCCTGTCTTAAAATAAAAATAAAGGGCTTGGGATGCAGCTCGGTGTGAAGGCCCTGGGTTTATTCAGACAGATAGATAAACAGATAGATATTTACCACGAGACATTATATCCCTAGTGGTAGTGGGAAAACGGAAAAAATATGAAAAGGTGGAAATTTGGGTGCAAATAATCCATGTTGGATGAAGAGGCTGATAAGTGTCAGAACACTTGGTGCAAGTGTAGCTGTGCTAGGACCGTCCTAAAGCTTCCTCTCGTGGTCTCAGGGACTGAGGACAACGGAGGACAATAGAGGAGTTGCCCTGCCACTGGGCCTGTGGTTTAGCCACAGCTGCCCCCAAGAGCACACAGCCTGCCAGCCGGCCAGCCCAGCCCGGCAACAGAGCAGCTCCTGACAAGGGCAGCCAGGAAGGGCCCGGCTAGGAGGCTGTGACCCAGCCAGTGAAGGGGGTCCAGACGCCCCTGGAGCGTGTCGTGGAGCCCCAGCATGGAGACCTCTCTGTGGCGGAGCTGCGAGGAGGACACGGCGGATTCATCGGCACGGAAACGCTGCCACATCCTGAGCTGGCCCGTTCACAGCACTTAATTTACCCTCACCGTACCACCCGGCCCTTTCTGCAGCAAAATGAGGACCAGATAAAGCTGGAAACCACAGAGGCGCAGGGGAAGGACGGGCACCCAGAGTCTGCTTCGGATAAGCACACTGGAGCCAGGCTTCCGTGCCGGGCAGGTCAGCACCTGAGCACATGAAGGCCCCGCTCCTCCTGAGCACAGCAGTTCGGTCTTCTGAGTGAGGGAGGCGTCCCCACTCCGGCTGACACGGCCGCAGCTAGGGACAACACCTCGGCTTTGATAAGCTTCGCGGAGGACCCTGCAGTGGCTCCTTCCTGCCCCTCACCCTGTGGGGTGTGAGCGCGACTCCCCCAGGGGGGAGCTGGTGGAGAGTCCTTGGCACGGAGCACGCGGGGAAGCCTCACGCACAGCAGCCCCGAGCCCAGAGCAAGCCAGGCGCTGGAGGAAGAGCAGCGGCCCTGCCCGAGGACTTGCACAAACAGCCTCGGCTTCCAAATGCCTGAGAACTCGGAGCCCATGGGAATATGTGGTGACCCCAGGCTGAGGATCAGGAAGGTCCAAAGAAACCTCCATTCCGGGAAACCACACGTCTCTTGGCTTCTGCTGGTATGTTAGGGTTTTCAGCTGGGCTGGGCACAGGGCTCAGAAGCCTCTGTCCTCTTCACTAAAAGCGATTCTCCTCTAAGAGGTTTGTTCTGCACCGTAGGTTTATTTCTATGTGACACCGGCCCAGAGTAGCCCTGCACAGAACTAAGCAGAGGCAATGTAGTCCTGGAATCTCAATCCTGCCCTCCAGAGTCTCCCATGAGACTAGAAGCCCCGGGACTCTTCAGGAAGGGAAATTCCCCATCATGTGGCTGCACTTGGGACACAGATGGCCAACCTGGGGAGGAACGGGGTGGCCCCATCTCCCACCGCTCACCTGAGGGACACGGACAGGATTCGCTCCATCTCAATTCGCCGCTTTACGACTTCTTTCACGAGGCCTTTGTCTGGGCCCTGTTTGACCTTTTCTCGTCCAATTAAGTACAGGCACTTCGGGGTAAGAAGCAGGTCTCGCTTTACACCCTGAAAGGAGAGGCGCTTTCAGAAGGCAGACAGACAAAGTCGAAAAGACAGCCGTCCACATAACAGGCCACTGCTATGGCGGCAGAAGAAAGCTGTCTTGGGTGGAAAATCTTCACTACCCCGGGATGGCCATTCCGTTCACATCTAGCCAGGGCCCTGACAGTGAAGAGGTCGATATAGTTATGAAGACGCGGATACTGACCCTAACTTACTAAATGGCAAATGAACGCAGACTCATACAGGAAACCAACACGGCAGGTTCAAAAGGACTCTCAGGCCAACCAACACGTATGGCGACCCGGCTAATGACCTGCTACAGCATATGTCTCAAACAGGAAACCCCTCCCCGCTCAAGGGTCGGCATGGATTTTCCTGGGAGCCCATAACACCTTTTTAAAAAGTGATATCATTTCATTGCCATGATTGACCCTGATAATCAAAGACGATCATATGTTAGAACGGTGAGTGACCACCCCACAGCCAAGCACTGCTGGGAGACACAAGCACCCATGTTTGGGTTCACAGCTGCCCCATAGCAGCTGGTGCCATGTTTGAGTTGCACAGAATGACTTAGTTTTAGCAAAACAACAGCATCTTTCTTATTCAATTAATACTGTTATTTATTCCATTACTGTTTTTCTGGATGCAAGAAAAAAGAAAATCAAAGAAAAATTGATGAATGAAAAGTTGGTTTCAAAAATAGTGTCAATAGATTCAGTCATAGGAAAATGGATACATATTGAAGATATACTCCTAAGTGAAATAAATAAGTCACACATGTGTAAATACCAAATAGTTTCTCTGGTGTGAAAAATCTGCAATAATACAGAAGATCCTAATAAGATTACTGACACTTAGAAATGGGAAGAAAGGAGCTAAAGGTGTAGGGAAGATGGGATGGGTAGGGAAGGGTAAAAAGGGAAAAGAAAAAAATGTGAGATAATGAAAAGATGGAAATAAAGTATTTGTAGATGGGGAGGGGATGAGGGGCTGAAGGGAGGGCAGGGACAAGGGGAAAAAATGAGAATCAAGACCTGTCATGTAGAGGTACAAGATCCCAACAATGAATGTAACTGTACTGTATCCCTAAAATGTACCAATAAACTCAATTAAAGCTGAAAAACAAAACAAAACAAAAATAGTGTCTACTGTATAGACTACTGTGCAGGTACACAAAATAGATTTATACTGATACATCTATATCATTTTTCTGGGCATAAAAATATCCCAAGACACAAAACAGTACGTAAGGCATATTTTCTTTTTCTAGTAAAGCTAAATATGGAGCCGGGTGTGGTGGTACACACCTGTAATCCCAGCACTTGGGAGACTGAGGCAGGAGGATCGCTGTGAGTTCGAGACCAGCCTGGGCTACATAGTGAGTTCCAGGTCAGTCTCAACTACATAGTGAGACCCTGTCTCAAAAAACCAAAAAAACCAAAAAACCAAAAAAAAAAACAAAAGAACCCTAAATATGGAAATGCATGTTTGAATCAAAAAAGGTCTGAAGGATACACAAAAAATGCCAACAGTGCTTGTTTCTGTGTGTAAGGGGCTGTTTTTCTTTTGGTCTATCTGGGTTAGGGTTTTCTATAATGAACACAGTGTGCTTTGGCAATCAGAGCAGCAAAATCACAAGTTACATTCTACAAAATGAGGAAGCTTGGAGGCTCTCAGGTGGCAGCGTGTACCTTGAACCTCCTGTCGTACTTGGTGACCGTGTCTGCAAAATCAATCTTCTCCCTCTTGCCCACAAACTGCAGGAGTTCGGGGTGCTCCTCCATCCCGATGTAATCCCCGATGAAGTTCCGGTTGATACTGTTTCGCCTTCTTTCCTTCTTGTTCAATAGCAGGTCTGAGGCTGCCAATTCCCGAGATGGGGGAAAAGAGGATCCATCAGCCAGAAAAATGAGGATAAGATACCAGAAATACACAAATGATGTCAGGTTTTCAGCACACTGCATCACATCACACGCCAAATCCAGCAGAACTTTTAGTACGTGTGCTGCTGAAGTGAGCACTTTAATAACCCGTCCAAGCACAAACGAGACTAAATGAATGAGACAAAATTGCTAAAGTACCTTCTTCTCTCATTTGGACATATTTCTTCCGGGCCACAAATTTTCTCCATGATTTCTGTATCACTCGAGCATACCCATCATACTTTCTCTCTCTCATCTCTTCTAGAAGAAACAGCTGCCGAGTGTAGAGAAAACCCATGTGAGTTGAGTCACAAAATTTGAACACTACTTTTTGGGCCTGTTGTTATTTCAAAGACTCTCATATAGTCAAGGACATACATGAGAACCAACCTCCCAGACTCTGAACAAGTACTCACTATGGCAAACTGTCTCTGACCATTTACATTTTTACCAATGTTTTTTCTTTTAATAAAAAGCAACGGGAAATCGCTTGACCTGAGGAAGTTACGATGGTCTCTGCCCTGCTGTGCTCCGTCTCTGTGACTTTCTATCTCCATCTACTAGATAGAGGTTGCATGGCGGAGCCCGTACAGCCTGGAACTAGAACATTCCAGCTTCTGCAGGGGCAGAGATTGTACTTCTGTGGGAATAGGACTGCCCTATCTTTATTTCCATGAAATATAGGCTCCTTGCTTTGTAGGATTCTCCAGGGAGTCAGGATAATTACCTCAGACTCTGCTGGGCTAGTTAAAATCCCGACTCACTAAGAAGGGGTGGGGTCCCAGAGAGCCGACCTGTTTAATGATGCATACTGATTGCTGTACTGGTGTTCAACCGGGATTTGGGATCATGAAGATGACAGCAAATAGCTACAGTGCGCTGAGAACCCAGCGAGGGTCAGGAATCCTTGCAGACCCTTGAATGCTTCATTCAACACCTGGACACCTATAGGAGCTGCCTAATCTCCATTCTCCAGGGGGGTGTGGGAACTAAGGCTGCCAAGGCCTAGAGATCGGACCAAGGTTTTCCAGGTTCCTCCTCATCTGGATGTTCAAGTTTTTCTCTGTAAATCTGTTTGATCAAATTGTAAAATAGGGGAAACCTTCTCATCCACCTTGGAGGTGCTTTACACAACTCTCCAGGAAAAAAACAACAAAAAAAAAATGGACCCACATGAACCCAAAGGAAAGGTAACTAGTCACAGCAAATGTTCCAGAAGTAAAGTGAATGTGGTAGGAAGCAGCTGGACTTGACTTGTTGTCTGTTTATCCGGGTCTATCTTTAGGAGCCACACTCCCACCACTCAACTTCCCCTCACAGCCCCTCACGGCAGAAGTAATATTTTCAAACTGCAAACACCCAGGCCAAGGCTGCTCATCTCCACAGCCCCCTGCAGCGTCTGCAAAGGTTCAAGGGGCCTGTTCTTTTTTTGTTGTTTTTTTGGTACTGGAGATTGCACTTGGGACCTTGTGCTTTCGAGGCAGGCAGAGGAAACACTGAGCTAAATAAATCCCCAGCCCCCAAAGGGGCCTGTTCTGAACCTGGCTGAAGATACAAGTGATGAGCAGCTGGGGAGAAGGGTTAAGATCTGAGCCCTGCTGTCTCCTGTTGTGAGAGTAAACACTGATGTTTCTTTCGTTGTTTGTTGGGTTTCTGAGTAAGTCTGGTTTCCTTCTTTCCCAGAACTAACTTGAAGTTGTCACAGAAAATATACTTGTGACTCAGAGAAACGATGAGGCAGTGAACAGTTCCCAACTTCCGACAGACCATTTCAGAGTAGCTGCGTTTTCGAGTATTCCCCAAAAGCCCAGGAAGTTAAAAATCAGGAACAGCAGACAAAGACAAAAACCAAAAACGTGGACACACAAAACAGGAAAACAAAAGAACAGTGCTTTGGTGCCTGCTGTCCAATGTTGATATTTAAAGCAAATAGAGTACGTAGGTCACTTTGTGAATTCAGCATGTTTACTATGAAAGTTAAGGCAAAGTCGGGAGACTTATCTTCTGTGCAAGTAAGTCACACTGGATGTGGACAGAACGGACTAGAAGGGGAAGGGATAGGAGAGAGGAGAAAGGAGAGAGAGAGCGGGAGTGGGTAAGAAAAACAGAAAGGACAGACAAGCAATGGTATTAACGCAACGTGGAGGAAAGCAAAGCAAGAAAACCCAAAAATAAATCTTGGCTCTGGATCTAAATTCTCAAAGCTCAGCTAAATCAGAATTTTAAGAGACTATGAAAAATATTGAGGTTGTTTTAATTTCATATGAACATTTAACAAGCGGAGAAGTAACCGCGGGAGAACCTACAGTGCTCCAGGTGCACTGACAGATCCCTCCATCCCAGTTTAGAAAGGGCCGGAATTGTCCTGTGGGTGGCTTGATGGCGCATGACACAACAGTTTCACTTTATATTTGGAAATGAAATTGCTGCAAAGCTACAAATAGCTCAGAGTGGAAAAATGCTACCACAAACTTTTCATAAACGGGTCCTATCGATGGGTGCTACTGTTTATTTGATAATCTTTACAGTTCCCAGAGCCATTCAGTTACAGCCAGAGCAGCACTGAGTCTCAGGCCATTCCAGGAGACAAGAACAGAGACTGGGAGAGGAAACTAACGGCCAGGCCAGGATTTGTCTGAAGTTCAGTGCTCTGGTTTCTACTAACACGATAATTTTCCATTGTGCCCCCTTGGTCTGATGACTGATTTTGCCAAGTTTTCTTGACTCTTGAAGTGGGATCTTGTGATAACAGGAAATTCAAGAATTGAAAATGCCAGACCTCAATGCTAACAATTTCCCAACTTAAAAAGCAGCATCCTCAATTCATAGCCCGAACTAACCAGGCAGAATTACTAAGGGGCTTGGAATGATTCCTGAACAAGGGCAGAACTTCAGAACTTCCTGTGGACTCTCACCAGGCTGCCCAAGTCAAGCTGTAGAAGCTACACAGTATGTGTGTGTGTGTGTGTGTGTGTGTGTGTGTGTGTGCACGCGCGCACGTGCAATTGTCTTACTGGGAAGTACACATGTTCCAGAGACCCAGAGATCTGTTCCCTTGTCCTTCCTGGGCTCCCTGATGGTCCCCAAGCACAATCTTAGGACTCTGGCCCTGAAGTTGGCTCTGCCACCAGGAAGAAACCTGAGCCTATGTGTCAAAGGAGTGTTCTGTCACCCAGACAAGGACAGAGTTGCCCAAGCTTCCTTTGCAGATCAAAGAAGGGCCCTTTCTGCTTATACATAGGGTGTAACTAAGGGGCACTTTGTGTCCAAGGCTCTGGGAACACACCGGTATATGAAACAGGCTAAGTTTCTGCCTACAAAGGGACTGCCACGCGGCAGCAGAGAGACATGTGGGTGTTATGGCTTGTATCTAGATGTCGCCACAGAGCCTCAGGTGCTCATAGGTGGGGCTTTTCGGAGGTGGATGGATCATGGGTACGTGCTACTAGGATCAAGGGTATGTGATACCTAAATTAGTTTAGATAATGGAAGCCCTACCCTGGGTGTGGGTGGCACCAGTCAATAGGTTTACAGCCTGGACGGAATAAAACGGACAGAAAGAAGACAGGCTCACTGCTCACTTACTGCCTCCTGCCTACCCTGCCATGGACTGTTTCTCCTCTGTCATGCCGCCCTGCCTTGGAGCCAGCTGACTCTTGACTGAGACTTTTATAAACTGTGAGCTTAAATAAACCTTTCCTCCTTTAATCTATGGGTGTTGGGTGTTTTGTCCTGGTAAGAAGAAAAGTTCAGACAGTGGGACACGAAATGATGAAAAAGCAATACCTTTCTATACATGCTAAGCGCTCTGCAGAAGAAGGTGGCTGTGAGAGCCATGCAACAGCAGTGCTGCAGAGAATGACCCACTTAGACTGGGAGCGAGGGAAAGCTCTGTGGGCTTTGAGGCTCACATCTGAAGCGTGGCTGGAAATGGGGAGCGGCAGCCAACCACAGGGCTGGACTGGCGAGGAACGCACGGGCACTCACAGATTCGGGGGCTTTGATGAACACTTTGCTCCTGCCCAGCTGGAACTGGTCACTGTCCATGTTGACAGACTGCAGCAGGTGCAGGACACCCTGCTTCTCATCACCATGCCACACTGGCCAGGTGGCTTTGGTCAGGATGGCGTACCTGTGTGGACACATGGGGAGGGAACATCAAGCCCAGCTGGGCCACCTGGCTCCCTGCACCCGTCCCGTCCACTGTTTCCACGTTAACTCCTGGTGGAAATCTGCCTGCCCTCACACTGTCTAGAAATAGTACTGTTAAAGGTCATCAGGGACAACTGGCAGGCAAAATGAAGCAATGGTCTTTTCTCAAATCCAGTCTCCCTGGGTTGCAGGGCACGTAACAAGGACGGCAGGATTGGACGAAGTCACCTATACAGCATGCGGCTGGTCTTATGAGGCACCAGCCTTTGTCTCTGAATGTCACAGGGCCCGACCATCTGCTCCTGGCTTCTGCATCCCTTCTCCTCGCTCTCTGGTGACTCCACTCCTCGGAGGATGCAGCCACACGAATGCCCACATCCAAGCCGTCTCCTCTGCAGTCTGCGCTAAGCTCGGAGCTGCTGGCTCCTCCCCAGCCATGTCCAGAGCCCTCTAGGACACCCCACCAAATCGCCTCTTTATTTTCTCCCACAGCAAATAAAGCTTTTCCTTCAGATCACGGACCACCATTTGCAACGTCATTCATGATGACAGTCATGTTTGTGCTTATTTGGGGAACATGTGCTTCCCCTCAGGAGATCTGAACCCCTGAAGGTGGCTGCCCAGTCTGGGAGCTAATGGGATCCAGGTAGCACCTTCGAAGCCCAGCCCATGGCAGCAGAGTAGCTGCCTAGCAAGAGAACAGTGATGGCAGGTAAGGCACGGATGGCTGATTTGGGGTTGGCGCTTTTGACGTCTAGTTTTCAAGGCTGGTTATTTTCCTGCTAGGTCTTATTTTTTGGGAAAGCGGGTAGCTATTACGTGTCAGAGCTGGGATTTGAATCTCAAACTGTCTCTTCCATCATGGCATTACTTATAAGCCATGGACTGCTTCAGAAGTAACTATTATTTTAAAGATTCTCACAGTCTACCATACACGCCTACATGAGAATTACTGTCAGAGGCTGACATTATCGAGGACAGAAACACAGTAAGGGATGTCAGACACACAAGAGATCACAGGACTGTGCAGGTGCGCAGCCGCGGGGCGTGGCCCAGGTACATGCACACCTGGGTGTAGGCAGCAGGGCCCCAGGCCTTGAGAGAAGCCAGGGCCCCCCCTCTGCCTCCTGGAAATGCTGCTGTCGGGTGTAGACTGACCAGTGGCACCCAAGGGTCAGGGGTCAGGACTACAGAGATCCTCTCCACTTCCCCTGAGAGCTACACCCTGCCTGCCAATACCATAAATTTCCGACAGAAGCAAACCCTACTTCCTAATTAGAGAGAAGAAGCCTAAGTGTGAACATGCCTACCTGAAGCCACACGTTAGCATGAATCAACTTCCCATGTGGTACCATCATGTTAATCCAACAAATGCCACGCGATGCCCACGCGGTGCTTGGCACGGCATGAAGTACTGTGTGCAGCACCGGGGAGAGGTCTGGGTATGATGCAAATGAAGCCCTTCTACAGTGTCCCTCAGACAAGCCAGGCACAGGATACTCCTTTTCTGCTTATAGCTGGTTTTTTCCCCCTTTTTGGTACTGGGGACCGAACTCAGGACCTTGCACTCACGAGGCAGGTGACGGAACCACTGAGCTAAATCCCTGGCCCTAAGTGCAGGATACTCCCGTGAGATGATCTCGTCCTTCTGCTTTTCCCAGAGAGCAGGGCTTACAGACCAGCTTGTGTAAGTCAGCTTCACTGGCTGGTTTTTAAAATAATGTGGGAGGAAGGAGTTCTTTCGCTGTTTAAAAGCAGTACCCTCGAGAGAACTTGGGGATGCCAAAAACAGAGACTTAAGTACATGAAAAATAGGAGAAGGGGGAAAAAATTAAAAATTGAGCCTTTGGAACTATGGAGGACGGACCGTTCTGTATTAGGAAAGATGGAAGAAATCCTTTTTAATTCACTGCTTTGTATATTTTGATTTTTTTCCCTCTTAATTCAAAAAAAGCAATTTTCAAAGAAATGCTGTTTGGCAAAAACATGTTATGATGCTCTAAGCCAGTGCTTCACAGCTGGGTGTGCTCCCAGGGAACGTTAGGTAACGGCGGGGTACACGTTTGGCTGTCACAGCGGGGAGGGGGTACAATACTGGCATCTAGTGGGTAAAGGACAAAGGGACAGGAAACACCCTCGATGCACAGGGCAGCTCCACGAGTATCACCCAGAGCAGGTCAGCAGATACGGCTGACAAACTCTGTTCAAAACAGGCACCGCCAATCTACTCAAGAAAGGCCAAAGTCTCACAACTAAACCCCCGAGTTGTGTTCAGCAGACGAAGGGCGCTATGGTGCCACAAGATCTCTGTACATTTATTTTACCACTGCCCCGAATATTTCTTCACACACTCCTGCTTATACTACTGGTACACTGGATCTTTACTTCAGAGAAGAGTGAGGGCCTAACCTACCTCCAAAATTCTTGGAAAATGCAAATGTGTGCAAACTGAGTTAATGAGACTTTATTATATGGAATTATGATAGCCCGCTAAGTTAGAGAAAAATTAATGTACAGTCAGAGAGGGACGGGGCCATCGAGGAAGTCAGCACAAAAATAAGGACATCAGAATTGTCACTGGAGGCGCATCTGTAAGAAGGCCTCAGGATAAAGATTCAGAGGCCAGGCCTCCAGGCCTCCCGGCCTCCCTAACAGATACACAGTAACTTGCAATTATTCCTTCATCAGCACCACCAGGCTCAGGAAGTCCAGATCAGGATCAGTGGCCCAGGTGGGTGTCCAGAGCATCTGGTTCCACACGCTCCCAAAATGCCTTTGTTCTTTCCAGGTTCCTGGCTGTGAGGCCTGTTTCCCTGTTGGATCAGTATTAGCTGAGTGGCTGCACTGGGAACCCTCCAGGTGGTTGGCAGTTGACAACATTGTCCCACATTGTGACTCTGCCGTATAAACTACCCCCGACAAAGGGCCTCACTGGCCACCCCATTCAGGACCCCTCTGTGAAATCCAGGAGCTGTTCCTCTCTCCTGATCTCCAGTAAAACTCTCCTAACTTCTTCCTCTGCTTGGAACTCGGCACGCTTGATGTCTAACAGGTCTGGAGTCACCTTTCTCCTCTGTCAGAACGAGTGGCCCTTTCTCAGGGCCTCCACTGGGCGGCTCAGCCACCCTCATCTCATGGCACAGGACACAGGGTCGCGGGAAAGATGTGTCTCAGTAGAAGTACTGGATTTCAAGGAGCGCAGTCAAGTACCCACTTCTGCCGGCTACTTCTTTGTTACATCCTTTTTTTTTTTAAATCCTTACATCCTGTTTTCTGACTAAAATGCTAAATTTGACTTTCTTCTTTTTCTTCCCCATTTCTTACAGAAAATTAAATAGATGTAGACAGCACAGTGGAACTGTGCAGTCATTCGGGAAGTTGGGATGGCATCATATCTAAGTACACTCAGTTTTATCCTTTTCAAACGCAAGCAGCACAAAATAAGAATCATTTAAGTATAGGTCCTGCCAGTATACTTCAAAGAAAATATTAAAAATCAGTTTAAGCCAGGTGTGGTGGCTCACGCCTGTAATCCCAGCACTCGGGAGGCTGAGGCAGGAGGACTGCTGTGAGTTCAAGACCAGCTCGGGCTACATAGTGAGTTCCAGGTCAGTTTCAACTACATAGGGAGACCCTATCTCAACAAAACAACAAAATCAGTTTAAATTTAAACATGGGTTGTACAAAAATGGAAGTTAAATACTTGAAGCTTATTTCCTAAGTAGGGCTAAATATTTTCTTACAATTGTTTTCATACTGTTACTTCGCTCAGTCAAGTTAAACTTCAGCCCTTTCTAAGACACAATTACCCTTAATTCTGGAACCTGAGGGTCACACGCCACAACGAACCTTGGTCCCTACTGATATATTCTGCATGGCAATGACAAAAAGAATAAAATTATAACTAACAAAACAAAACAAAAAAGCGAAGTCCTAAAATTCAGGCACAGGACTTTAGCACGTATTTTTCCCAAGAGGAAATACAAACGGCCAGTAAGCACATGAACATCACACTTGCATCTGGGAAATGCCAATCCACCCCTTCACAGCCACGAGGAGCGTTAGTCACACGATAGCACACGCCGGGGCTGCAAACACCGCCGTGGGACCGGAAGTGGTGCGTTCACCTCCAGAACAAGGCGGCGCTCCTTCAGAAGGTCAAACTTCCAGCTACCAGGTGATTCAGCGGCTTCACGCTTGGGCATAAACCCGTGAGAAACGAAAACTCGTCCACCCAAAGATGTGGACGTGGATTTGCACCGGAGCATTGCTCATAGCCAAAAAGTAGGAAGAACTGATGTTCATCAAGCCACGAGGGAGCAACCGAGGGAAACGGGGTGCAGCCACACACGAGAGTGACGCCGCTACACGGGGACGAGGCGCACACACGTCAGAACACGGGGGTCTGGAAAACACTGGCGGGAGGGCCGCGGGTCTAAGGTCGGAGGGGGAGTTCAGGTTCAACCCCAGCACAAAAAGGAAAAATGCAAAAAGCTGTTGAATCACATACTTTCAGTGGGTACATTAAAAAGACAGGGGTCAGTTTTCCTCACCTCTGCAGGAATTTCTGGAAGACGCGCCGATAGGCATAACCAGCTCGCCTCACACGGATGTTTTCTTTCAGACCCAGATACTCCACCTGGTGCTTTACTCTGTAACACAGAGAAGGGAGGCGGTTAAGGTTGCTACTGTATTTTTTTTTTTGTACCGGGGATCGAACTCCAGTCCTTGTGCTTGTGAGGCAAGGGGCGGAACCACTGAGCTAAATCCCCGGCTGGGAGGCAGGTTAATGAATGAGCAAGTGAGACGTGGTTTATTCACACAACAGAGGTCACCCAGCAACACACAGGAATGGAGAATTCTTGAACACATCATGGCAAATCAAAGAAACCAGTCATAAAGGAAGCATGCATGGATCTGTTCATAGCAAGAGCCCAGCTTAAGATAATCGGTTCCCCCAGCCTCTGGCCAATCACCTCCTAAGCCCCCAGTTGCAAGCTGGGGAAACATATTTATAAGACTATAATCAGTAGTGTGCAGACATCAAGATGACCTCTCAGATAACAGTACATTTCAAAATACTATGGAATACACTAATTCTACAGCAACTATGGAGGACGACATTACATACCAATTTCAGAGAACGACAGTAAAATAAAAGCCTACAGTCAGGCACGGCGGCATGTGCCTGTAGTCCCCACTATGTAGGAAGCGAAGATGGGAGTCCAGGAGCTCAAGGCGAGTCTGAGCAACACAGTGCTATAGTAAATAAATTCAATGAATAAAAATAAAAAAGCAGGACACGGTGGCACCTGCCTCCAATCCCAGCACCATGGGGGCTCAGGTAGGGGGTCCCAAGTTCTAGTACAGCTCAGGCAACTTAGAAAAACCCTGTCTCAAAGAATAAAAAAAAGGGCTGGGGACATAGCTCAGTGCGAAGGCCCTGGGATCAATGCCTGGTACTTCTAAACAAACAAATCCTATGTATCTGTTATTTCTGTTATAAATAAAAATAGTATTTTTGTTTTGTTTTGTTTTTTTGGTACTGGGGATGGAGCTCAAGACCTTGTTCTTGTCAGGCAGGCACTGTGCCACTGAGCTAAATTCCTGGCCCTTCTTGTTTTGATACTGGATCTTGCAATGTAGCCCAGTGGCCTCAAATGTGCCACTGAGCTAAATTCCTGGCCCTTCTTGTTTTGATACTGGATCTTGCAATGTAGCCCAGGTTGGCCTCAAACTCACAGTGATCCTCCTGCCTCAGCCTCTCGAGTTCTAGGTTTATGGGCATACACTTCCATAGCCAGGAAAAAAAACAGTATTTTTTCAAAACACTTCTGACAAATACAAAGGGCTCCAGGGAGCAGGCCCCCGACCTTGTGTGAAATGGCAGTGGGCAGATCACACCCCAATTCCACGCAAGGCCCTCACGGCCATTGCCCAGGAATGCTCTCTGGAAAATCACCATTTCCAGCTATGCCGCTGTGCACCAGGTGCACCAGGTCTGTGCCCGGTGCTGGGGACACCAACGAGGCCAGTGCTGGATCCCTGCTGGAACAGGTTCTGGAGCTGGGTTTCAGGGCAGCCTGGGCTCTGCCGCTGTGGGGCAGCTCTGCGCCTCAGTACCCTCTGCTGTAAAACAAGGGCGGGGCCTTGAGCTCTTAGCCTCTAGTTGGATACTGTGCACAAAAGCCACTTAGTTCTGGGCTGTTATTGCGCAGCACAGGAAGTAAGCCAGGACAGGGCAGCCGGGAAGGAGCTGGAGTTTTCACAGCAGGAGGAGGATTCTCCAGAGTGAGCTCACCCAGCACGGAGGAAGAAGAGGAGGCAGAGGGCCCTGGGGTAGTAAAGGCACAAGGAAGGGAAAGGCCCGAGGCACTGCGCCGGGAGCGGAGGAGGAGACAGAGGAAGGGGGAGGGGTGGAGCACTGACTGCCCCAGGACGTCAGAGGCACGGGGTGCTGAGTCTCAGGCTGACTGGTCTTACGTCTGCTGAATCTAGAAAAGTCGACCCCTTCAGTCTAAGTTATGCTTTAAAAGCCTTCCTGTGGATGAATATTCAATATCCACATTTGCAGGGTAAGGGTAGGGAGAGGGAGGGCGAGACGGATCATGAGTGCTATTCAACGAAGGGGCAGAAATCTCATTCAAGAAAATAAGTGATTTTCTTTTTCCCCATCTTCCAAATCCAAAATTGACCAATGGCCTAAGGAAAACACACACTGAATGCCCATCTCAGATGTTTGGTCTTTATAAAGTACTTTTTGCCAGTTCTGGCTTCACTCTGAGCTTTGAGGCCAGGCACGCACGACTTATTGGTCGAAGCAGAAATGTTCTTTGCCCACGAATCATTCAAAATGTCTCATTCATCACTACTTCCACCGTCTAGAAATTTTCTTACAGAAATTGCCTTCAGCAGGACAATCAGTCTAGCAAATCGTGTAGTGTTTGCCATCAGCAAAGGCCCCACAGTGATGCCTGCAACTCCAAGGGGTGCTGTCATCAGGCCCAGGCCCCACCTGGTTGTCCCCCAGGCATGACATTTCTGTCTCTGGGGAGGAGCCAGCCGGCCCAGGACTGGGAAATCCCGAGGGAGGGCAGCAATTCTGAATTCAGGGTGAGCAACAGCCAGGAAGGAAATGGAAAATCCCGTTCTCCATAAACCCGGGGGATAAGGAAGCCCCTCAGCCCAGGACGTCCCTGGAGCCTGTAAGCCTCTCTAGACACGCTGTTCCACCCTCTCGGCCAGAGTAGAACGAGCTGCTAATAAACCTGCACCTGGAATAAGGGGGATCCCAGGGGGCCGGCCACAGGATAGGTGAGTCCATTCTACATGGGACCAGTTTAACACCCAAGTAACAGCTTCTTACAGGAATGTGTAGTGTGGTCATGTTCTTTGCTGAAACTCAGATAAGGGGAGCGGAGGGGAGGGAAGGAAGGGAAGGGAAAGGAAGTGAGAGGGAAAGGAAAACACTACCAGAAAATGCTCTGAGGGTTTACTGAGTAAGATGTATTGTCATCTTAATTTCTCCATTTTCTGATATTCTAACAAGTCAGTTTGGACTTTGAGAAGTTTTGCACCAGGGCTGGGAATACCCAAGGAGAAGCTACCATCATTTCTAGATCACAGGGGCTTTTCCTGACTTGGGAAAGGGGGAGTGCTCGGGCTGCTATTGCACGAGATGTTTTCATTTAGGGTTTTTAGCGAGGAACAACAGATGAGCGGTGTGAAATCGGGACGCGAGGACTAAGGCACCGCTTGGCAATAACTCTGCTCCCAAGACACGTGGCGTTCGTTTCTGAGGTTGCCTATGACACCACCCTGACCGTGTGTGCATGTGCTGGAGAGGCTCTGAGGGAGCGGTGTGTGTGAGCATGATACACAATGTGCCGAGGGCCGCCGGGAGCAGACCTCAGAGGGTCCTCACCTGGGGCAGGCTGAGTCCAGGCTGAGCCTTGTAGTTCCCAACAGCAGGCCAGCCCCAGGACAGTTACTCCAAATCCCGGTCCAGCTCCTGGCTTGAAACCCGTGGCTTTCAGAGTGGGGTGCCTGTGGCATCACCACCAGCACCACTGGAGGTTTTTAAAGTTCAGTCAGAAAGTCAGGGAGCATGATCAGCACTGTAGCACACCCCCGCACCCCGTACCAGAGATCGCACTCAGGACCTCACAACCTTGCACTTGTGAAGCAGGCAGGGCGCCACTGAGCTTAATCCCTGGCCTTACCAGTATAGGTTTTTTGCTTTTTTTTTTTTGGTACTGGGGATTGAACTCAGGTCCTTGCGCTTGCAAGTCAGGCCACCGAACCGCTGAGCTAAATCCCCGGCCCCCAGTATAGGTTTTTTGCTTTTTTTTTTTTGGTACTGGGGATTGAACTCAGGTCCTTGCGCTTGCAAGTCAGGCCACCGAACCGCTGAGCTAAATCCCCGGCCCCCAGTATAGGTTTTAACAGTCCTTTAGGAGCTCCTGACTCCCAACTCAAGCCTGAGAAGCATTCAGAATCTTAGGAGGGTGGGGAGGACAGTGCTGCTACTGTCCTGGCCTCACAGGAGAAACTGAGTCACATGGTTTAGAAAAGCAAGGGACAGCAGGCACGGTGGCGCATTGTAATACCAGCACTCAGGAAGCCGAGGCAGGAGGATCACTGCAAGTTGGAGGACTACACAGTGAGTGTAAAGCCAGCCTGAACTACAGAGAGACCCTGTCTCAAATCAACACAAGGTAACATAACAAAAACAAAGAAAAGCAGGACACAAATTAAGAACATCCAGGGGAATGACCAAGAAAGAATGGCCCCATTCCCGGGCGCAAAGGAGCTGCTGACGAACGAGAGCGAGCACTCATGACAGGGGAGACCCAAGGAAGCCCAAGCCAACAGGAGAGCCGCTGAAAGTGTCAAAGCCCTGACAGTGATGCTCACGGTGGACCAGAGACCCAGGACTAAAGTGACCTAGAGCAAGACCATAACCACCTAAGGGTACGAGTTGTCAAAAGCTGGAGGTGCCACCGCTCAGCTCAGCACCCCATGCTGTCATGCAGCCGGGTCCCTTAGTGCCAGCTGCACCAGGACCAGCAACCTGGGTCTCCCCAGCAGTCAGGGCGCGAAGGCTCACTGCCCCCACCCCCGTGGATCTCCTGTTGGCCACGTGGTGCCCAGGAGGAATCCCAGACCCCCAGGACGCCCGGTATCTCCCTGAGCCCCAGTGACTGGCAGCTTGCTCTGCCATGGCCTTAGGTCCTCTCCACAAACCCAAGCTATGCGTGCGAGGCCGCCAGTCAGGAGCCCAAGACTCCACACAGCCTCAAGCTAATCTGAAAACCATAACGTTTTGCTTTGTTTTTTCACTAGCTCCGGGACTGGCCAAGATGGGCATTATAAACTGTTAATTCTGAACCGAAGGGCCCTGTTAACATTTTAGAAGACAACGGGGGAAAGAAATACACTGGCTTCATTCTCAAATTGCTCCTGCCCAGGACGCAGGAGGCGTCCCCTGGGCAGGGCTCGAGGAGGCCATGCAGCCCCCAAGCCGACCGCCCCTCCCACCCTCCCTCGGAACTGTACCTGCTTTCCTCCCAGTCTCGGGGCTTCTTGGTTTCGTTTGGTTTTATGCAGCGGATGTAGTGCGGTGTGCATTTCATCAGGGTGCTCACGAGGTCATTGGCTTGTTTCTAGACAGGAAGAACGACACCAGTTAGAGGCGCAGAGTTTCTGAAGCAGACCGACCGGCCAAGGAGGTGTGTGAGACTCCAGTGTGGAAACAGCTACACATTCATCTCGGTGGCAGTGTTCACGAAGCCGGAGTCAGGGCTACAAAATGCCCGTGAGGCTCTGCTGACTTTGACGATGATTCTATCCCTCTTAAATGGCTTGGAAATCTGTTTGCTGAAAGCATTTGGAATAAAGCTAAAAAAATAAAGCAATAAGGAAAATGCAAAAAGAAAAAAAAAAAAACCCCAAAAACCAACAACAAAAAAAGCCAAGTAAGTCTTCACTACAATTATTTTCATGGGGTACAAGGAATCATGTCATTGACTAACAAATTACTTTATATTGATTGAAGCCCTTTGCAAATTCACTGTTCTCATTAATTTTTTAAAAATTATGAGCAAGGATAAAAATCTCAAATTTCCCTACATTCTCTTTGCTGGCGATGCAATCGAAGACTCATCCGACTGAAATAATGGAAACTCAAGTTAAAGGAGTGAGACCTATAAAATCTCAGAATTTAGAAACTTCACCTATACCCTTTCATTCTTCTTTTTCCTGTGTCCCTTTATGAGCCTGAAGATCTGACTGTCTTCTGGTAGACAACTTCTTCGTGAAGCTAAGCTATTCCAGAGAATCATTTATTATTACGTACGCACTCAGTACCCGAAAGAGCACTGAGTTCAAGCAGACAGAACCACATCTGTGAAGCCAGAAGTGCTTAGGACGGGTTTCAGCTCATCAAAACCTCACACTGTGTTTGCAGAGCAGAGCCGGTTCCCATCAGCATTCCCACCACACAGCGGTGCACACCCTTGGCCCGAGGAGGTGGCCCCGGCACAACTCTCCCGCCAAGCGCTGAGAGAAAACCTCTAAAGGAAAATAGCAAAACGCCATCTCCAAAGCCCGAGAACCATCCGAGTCAGCAGAAGGGACGCGCCTCCGACCGCCAGCCAGCTCTGGGCAAGGGCTTGGCTGTTGTCATGGGTGTGGGAAACCTGAAACCCTCCAGAAAAGCCACTGGGCAGATCCCAGGCGAGACACGCACTGGCGACTTAAACTCTGCTGATGGGCAGAGGACAGCACGCTCTGCAGTGCCTGCAATGGGGCCAGAGCTGCAGAGGCTCCCTCACTGAAGCCAAGGCCTCGATGGAGCAGCTCGTCCCCCCGCCTGCTGGGGTGAGGGAGCTCGGCCCTTGAAAGCACATCTGATGATCTCCGCGAAGGGAGGGTGACGGTGGAGAGGGACCGCGGAAGGACTTAGAACAAAGCCTTCTCAAGCCTCCAAACTTAATTTGTTACCTTTTCACTTTGGATTCTAATCTTTTGTTTCATTACATCTTTTAGTTTCCAAGAATAACCGCACATTCTTCGCGCCCCCGAAGCATTTAAGAGCGTGCCATCTTCTCACTGTCCCGTAAGAGAGCACCAAAGATGACCCGACTTCAGTTTTTGGGGCACTCGGTATAGTTCCGGGTCAGAATGTCACCAACAGCAGTCACTGGACACGGATGGTGGGGGACACAAGTGGGTTATCTCGGGTTGTCTCACCAGCCCTAAGCAGAAGCTATACTGTTAGTCCTGGTTTTTTTGAGAAAACTGGGCCTTACGGGAACAAAGGGTGGCTTGAGATGATACCATTTGTAAACAACAGAGCCTGCTTTTAAGAACCCAAGCCCATGTCTCCACCACAGTGCCACTCTCCTTCCTAACACAGGTACGTACGGACTCACTGTGGCAGAAATGGCTGTATCGGGTGAGTAAGGTGGCGGAACAATTAATCCCATCAACAGAAAAAACACCTCAGCTATCACAGTAACCCTGAACTTCACTAGGTGGTTATGAAGCAGTAACTGGGTTAGCTCTCGAGGCGTCCCGAAGTCGGGACAGAAAGATACGGATGACACTCGATCCACAGAAGCGGGGTTGGTGTATGGAAAACAGGGTGGACGTTGAGAACAGGGCAGGTGAAGACAGAGCTCTTGCCCTCTGGACGGAGGACACAGGCCTGAGCGGGCAGCCAGCTCGGTTAGGAGCTCGGGGTGCAACAAGTCACTGGGCTCTGCTAGGCCTCAGTGTCTGTTTCCAAATGACACGCGGGTGGGTTAAAGCAGAAGGTCTCTGATACCCTAATCCGAAGGGTGGAGGAGATGACACAGGGCGGGCCAGGACCCCAGCCCTCCATGGCATCCCAGCTCACTGGGTCAGGCTGCAGCCTGGTCACCTTGGACTTGATTCTGCTTTCCCCCAGCATCAATCTTTCACTCTTTATTTCAGTATCCACCTCCTCTAGCCAGAGAAGGAAATTTAGGGAAATCTCCGAATCAAGTGTGAAATACATACACTTTGATTCATAATCAAGTTAATGCGGAATTCACCAAATGAGTATTCTGACTAAACACTCTAGATTCTATAGTATACATGAGCTTTAAATTTTTAAATAATTAGAATGTGAAATGTCCGACAGTAAAACTACCTTGAATATAAAATTTATTTTTCAAGGAATTCAGGATGACATCCTATGCACACACTTGGGGATATCATTAAAAGGACACTTGGGGACGTCTGCAAAATGCTGTGGTTATAGCAGGTACAAGAGGCAGGTACGGCTTCCTGCGAGGTATCACGGAAGAGAGGCGCTTCCCCTCCTGGTTCACCCCCAGGCAGACATAAGGACGGGTACAGCTCCCCACAGAGGCTGAACGGGCTGAAAGACACACTCCCATGCCTTGGCATAAGCTAGCTGCTTTAGCTGATCTCCCCAGGAAATGGCCCAGATTTTGTCATCCTAGAGGCAAAAGTGAAGAAAAGACAGGAAACAAATCTCCAAAGGAGGAGAAAAGGAGCCCTGTCCACTCCTTGTTCCTCTGTACAGTCTATAATCCACACCACTTGAAAGTGAGTCATCGCAACCCGGGTGATCGGGGCCCTGGAGTCTGAACGTGACAGTCTCATGATCAGACGTCGCAGCCCAGAGCTAACCCTCATCCAGGACCCCGAAGTGAAGGCATGAGTCACAAACATCATGTGGGCGTGAATGCCCGAGCCTCATGGAAATGTCATCTGCAGTCTGCACCAAAAAACTCAACCCAGTGACCACCTGAGACTTACTACATTTCTCCAGCTCTCTGGATGTGATCTCCTCATGTCAGCACTACCTGCCAGCTCTGAGCCCAGCTTGCAAAGTCGGGCACAGTGGCATACATTATAGTCCCAGCTACTCAGAGGCTGAAGCAGGACAGGAGGATCAGCTGAGCCCAGGAGCTGAAGGCCAGCTGGGGCAACACAGTGAGACTCAGACTTGCTCTTTAAAAAAGCAAAAACAAACAAAAAGACCCACAAACCAAAACACCAACTCGCATCTGACTTCTCCCACAAAACCCAAAGATGCCTCCTGTTTGGAATTTTACTGCTGTGAGCTTTCACTGATTGCTTCCTTTCCTCTGGTCAGGCTTTCTGCCCCCAAGCCTGCCAGATGCTAGAGAGGCAGTCTCCACACATGAAACACTTGGAGAAGAGATAGCTTGAAAGGAGAACCAACAGTGACAATCCCGGTATCAGTGGGGCTGGGTTTTCCAGGACAGATTTGCACACAGAGAACACGGAGGAATGGACACCGCAGACGGGACCTAGCCCAAACATGTGAAAGTGTGCATGTAGAAGTAAACAGTCAAACAAGCACAGGGTGTGTGTGTGCACAGCAGACTATAAGAGGAAGTCATCAACATTTTGTGCATAATACGTTTCAGGCACTGTGTTAAATGCTTTCGATGAATTATTGAATTTAATCATTACAGCCTCCCCTTGAGATAGGCACTAAGATCTCCATCTTCCAGATAAGCAAAAGAAGCCCTGGAGTAAAGTAACAAGCTGGCAATCATACGGAGAGTAAAAGCTAGAGATTTGAACATGGGCAATGGAACCACCAAAGCCCTGTGAATTTCAGGCTTCTTAATTGCATTCTGTGTGGAGAAGTGTGCACAACCTCTCCACACAGAATGCAATTAAGGAAACTGAATTTCATCACACAATGGCTCGGAGAGAGCTCTGTCCACAGGGACTCCTGAAGACACGAAGGATTCCTTCTGACTCTGAGACACATGCGATTCACAGCCAGACCCGGGGAGGAGGCAAGCATAAATCGTCCCTACAAGACGAAACCGAATTTCAGGCAAGTAATGTTCTCTGGTTGGCGGGTCAGGGGCCTGGCCTAGAAAACTGTCATCAGTATCCAAAAAATGGTTCCAAATGACAAAATTTCTCTGCTAGTTTAACATAAATTTTTCCAGATTCAGTTTAAAGCCATTTCCTCTTAGGAGCTGATTCTCATCTGCTGACTATTAACCTCTGAGATGCTAAATATCCTTTTGGGATTTCAGAGGAGTCATGGCAAATGCAGCTACATCCTGTGACCCTTTCACAAGCAGCACTAGTACTTGTGGGTATCTCTGTTACCAGGCCTGGCATCACACGGCCCTCTGCCTGGAGCCCTAGACGTTGTAAGAATCTATAAAGGTCCCCAAATAGAACTAACCTTTATTTTGCTTCCAGCAGTAGTTGGGCGTCCTTTCTTGTCAGCTTGCAGATTTTCAGGAAATAAAGACTTTATAAAAGGTCTGGCAGAGGAGAAAGAGAAAGGATTAGCAACGTGCAAGGACCTTGAGGGAGGAAAGCCTGCTTCTCCAGAGACTGGGGCGTAGCACCGTCCACAGCACATAACCCTGGCTGAAGGCAGGCCATCTTGACTCACAGCCAGCACATATGCCCCGGGAAATGGTCCGCAGACAGAAGACACAAAGACAGAGTTCCAGGACAGGAGCAGCTCAGACTCTCTGCCTGAGGAATGTTTTCAAACTCTGCCTTTGAACGTCCCTCCTTGTGGAATTGAGGCCCAGCTGGACTGAAGAACTTGACAGAAGCCACTGTGGGCTCTCAAGATGACAGGGCACCCGGAGCTCGGGATTGTGGGAAATGCTGCTTGGATATACAGCACAGTTCTGAACCCGGGCACACCAAGTCACGGCAGGAGAACGGTTTGCTAGGGTCAGGTGTGGCGCTGTCCTGTACGAGGGATCTGACCTCACTAGATGCCATCGATAGACTGTCCCCACTCCCACCCAGAAAACAGCGACAAAGTGCTTCTGAGAGGGGAATTGCCGCAGACGCTTCATTTCCAGCTCTAGCTGGGCCACCTGTGTTGACCCGCCCCTCTAATGGTACACGGGGCAGGGACAGCAACAGTCACCTTCGTGCCCCTGGTATCTGACGGCTGCTGTGCAGTAAGTGCTTCCTGAGTATTTCTAACTGGCCGAGTAAAGGAAGCAATCCACGTAACGTGGCGATCTGACACTCATTTCCTCCTAAGAGACTTTCTGGGCATCTTCGAATTTCCAGGAAGTCTCCCCAGCAATCCACTTTTCATTTGGTAATTTGTAATTGCAGGTTTTTGGGTTTTTTTGCAGCAAAATACATTAACAAAACAGCATGCCACGTCCATGTCTACATGATGGGTGTTTATGTAGAACCATGAGCAGCTCCTGAACTTGGCAGGAACATGGAAAATTTAAAACAATCTCTGGAAGCCAGTGTTCACCTGGCTGCTACCAAACCCACAAGCCAGGAGTTGCGGTTTACCTGACCTTTTCAGAGAAGAGCAAATTGATTTTGTGTGTTTTGAATGAAAAGACATCCAACATCTCAAGAGTTGATGTGAGTTCGAGGAAACGCGGGCAAAGCGGGGAAGGAGGACAGGGTGTCAAAGCAGAGAGTTAAAGGTTGTGAAATGCTCCTGAAAAGGAAACTTTTCTTTCTTGGCAGTCAGGGTTTTCTGAGAAAGTTACTGGGACTGCTGCTATTGATGAGAGAAGCCAACCTGGATATTCGGACAGGGGAAAAAAGAGAGGGTGGGAAGGGAATCCCCGATTTGGAGGGAACTCAAAGAATTTTGAGAGCGGGAAGGCTGGGTGACATTCCACTGGCCTGGCATGTACGGGTGACCCAGGATCTCAGGAAGCTTTGCAGAGACGAAGGAAGGGACACCAGGCTGGTCCTGAGACCTCCTGCGTCCTGGGGAGTGAGGGCCCTGCTATTCCAGCCCTGTAGCTCAGGCAGCATCTGGGAGTCCCAGAATTCATGGGTTTCCAAGCGTGTCAGGGACTCGGGTCTTGTTAAGCTGTCAGCCACGAAGCGATGATGGGAAATTCTTTTATTTTTGTTTTTTGAACAAAGTGTCAGAGAACCAGACCGCTCCACTCTTACATGGGCAGAAAGGGCCAGCCTAACCCACACCCACTATGGTCACTTCTCCTTGGCAACAATGCTGAGAGTGACGCAGCCAGCATATAGTTGGCGCTTGGAATTTGGGGACCGAAGTGTTAGGAGCATAGATAGGGAGAGGCTGAGACTGGAATAACGAAAGCAGTTTTGGAAAAACCAAAATCATCAACCAGACCCAACAGTTCAAAGGAGCAAAATGTCAACCATCCCAGAGCCACCTCTGTTAGCTGTGACACTGCACATTTAAACCTACACCACGTAGCAGATGAGGTGAGGGACTTACAGCTCACTGCTCTGCATGAGTTCGATCAGATCCATGAAAAGCACATCCCGGTTCCGCTCACAGAAGCCGTCCATGTCATAGGATACCTGCGCCAAGAATGAGGAGAGAGCGGATTGTATCCTTTATGTATTTATCTGGATAAAAATCCACATCTGTATGGCTAGCCCCACCAGGAAGTGTTTTATATCCAGAGGTAGCACTTGGGACCTTCACCATGAGCAGTCCCCGAAGGCTGTGTTAGCTGGTGAAGGCTGCCACATGCTGCCTGGTGGCCCTGATGATGGGACCGGGATGCCAGCTCTCGAGACCACAGGCCCTTTCTTCACTGGATCCACAAGGAACTTCCCCAAATTTTAGCTAAAACCAAACTCCTCAAGCTCGTTCACCCATTGGAAAGGGCCACATCATCAGACGCAGAACAATTTTCCCCAGAAATGGTTATCAAATTTGCAGCCATCTGGGCAGCAACTCATACTAAGGAAACCTGGTTACCAGAGACCAGCTGGGGTGAAAGATGAGCCCAGTGACTTGCACAGGACCAGGAAGCCCCTAAGAGCCATGACCTCAGCTTACGTGCACACCTGGCCCCCGTAATCACCAAACAGTCAAGCATTTTAGAGAACACACAACAGAGTGAGCCCTTGGTCCTGATTTACACTCCCAGGAGGCACAGCAGCCCAGGAATCAAGCTTGTGATTACAGCCAGGGTCAAGATAAAAATCCACCCCTTCGGCAGTTACTGCATGTACCAGGGTGATTCATGCTTTAAAAATACACAGTATAAACAGTATTTTGTTTTTCTTCCTGAAATGCTTCCTAGGTCCTGCTTGTTGAATGCATGCAGTACAGGAGGCTTATGGATGTAGGTCTCTCTCGCCTCATGAGAACACAGATCTCAGGACCAGAGATTTAGCTCAGTGGTGCCGTGCCTGCATTCCAAGCGCAAGGTCCTCAGTTTGATTCTCAGTAGAAGGGAAGGGAAGGGAAGGGGAGGGGAGGGGAAGGAAGGGACCTCAGACACAAAGCCTCAACACAGGCAGGCATTCCATGGCCCGCCCATTCCCTCTCCCGCCGATGCCGGCCCCAGGCCTAACCTTGCCGGCATAGTGGTGGATGATGAAGCCTTGGTTCCAGCTGTTGAAGTGCTCATGGTTCCCAATCTGCATCTGCAGCTTCTGCAGCAGCGTCTGATCAGCCCCCTCGCCCACAGCGTGCATGGTGGCGCACACGTCGTCCAGGATGCTCATTATCCCAGGAGGGTTCTGGGGGCAGCGAGAAGGCAAGGCCGCAGCCAGTGACTCTTCCAGAGGATACAGGGCCACTCGGGTCGCTTCTTGCCCAAGGACACCACTTCCTAGACTACGATACCATCTTGAAAGTGAGCCTCCCCCTTCAGGCAGGAATAACTTAAAAAGACCCAAAGGGCCAGTTACCACCAAGATCTAAAGAGGAAGAAAAAGTCCATTTCCTCAGAATCTGTGAGCTTTCTCTGGTTTTACCAAAGCCAAGCACAGATCATTATTTCCTCACGCCTATTCCTACCGGGCTGACTTGAATGAGCCCAGAATACATTTCCCTTTGACCCTAACTCCTTTCTTAATGTTCTCTTTCCGCCTGTTATCTACAGACTTCGCTTATATGGCTACTTGGTGTGTATGCTCTGCTACGGTGAGCTAGCTTTTCCACCGAGCACTATTTAATCAATTTCCCCATGTCTTATATAGTTTTCTTCACTATCGTTTCCCTGCTGACACGCTGCAGTTTATTTAATGACCGAGCTGTCTTGGATGCCTTTACAGTTTCCAGCTTTTGGCTCTTTGAGGGAGAAACGGTCCTTTCAGAGACCTCTATCTCCGTGATTTTCATTTCCTTTTGCATCATTTCCAAGAGCTACAGACCTAGAAGCTATAATAATTGAGCCAGAAGGCAGGGTCCATTTTATGGCTCTTTACACGCAAGGATGAAAGTGTGACAGCTCTCTTCTAGGGCTCAATAACTACTTCCGTTCACAGTAACACTTTATGCAGATACATTCATGTTTACTATAAGAGAGAAAAAAAGCCCAACTGTTCTGTTTTCATATATACACATACACACAAAGCAAATGTAATTGTTAAATTTCTCAGCAAATGAGAGTAGTTAATTTGCTTGTTCTAAAACAATTACAGAGAGAAAACAATGTAAATCTGTGAGCCATGATCAGAGAAACACGCCAAATAAATACTCACAACTTTGTTCTCTATGAGGTCACACACGATTTTGTTATTGAAGTACTCAATGGGTGTCCACTGTATCCCCTCTTGGACATACTCTTCCTGTAGGAGGGAAACCAGAAACCAACAAAGATCACCATGGTGAGGGCCGGGGGACACACAAACCCCTCAACAAAGACTGAGAACTTTCACGTCTTCTCTTCTAAGAGGTGATAGGAAAAGAACATTTCAGAGCTTGGTGATTTTCACATTTAGTTGGATCCCTACAAAACTGCTACCACACAACCTGTATGGATTACCTAGTATGTCCAGTTTAATGGAAAACAAACCCTCTGTGGCTGTAACATAGGACAATACTACAGAGGAGCATGGGAACTGAAAAAAGAGGCTTTCTCATTTAGATTAGCTGCTCATTTAATGTGAGTGCCACACTGTCCTGGTTTCCTATTCCTCCCAGACTTTGACAAATGATGGAGTCTCAGGGCCCAATTTCTGAGCCAACTTGTTTCTGTCAGCCCTCTTTTCTTAAGTGACTTCCATCTAAGGCTTTTAACTGACACTATGTTATGACCCTTGAACTGTATTTCTTCAGGTTGAACTTTGATGCTCAGACTTACACATAGTCCCTGTATTAAAATTTCCAGGTGGAAATTTAAGTTTCCTCTCAAACTTCATATTCAGAGAAGTCAGGATTCCGTATGCCCCGTCTTCTAAACTTACCTTCCAGCAAATAGTCACTGACCCTGTTATTCTAGCTCCAAAGCCAGGAATCATGCCTGATTACACTTCCCTTCTTAGCTTATTGCTAATTAGTTTGAGCAAGCCCTGCTGGCTTTAGTTTGCACAATATATGCAGGGTCCGATGACCTCTTACTGTGTCTCTAACTCTATCTCCTGTTATGGCCCAAGGCTGCGTTGCTTCTTGCTCAATTCTCCATCGGAGACTCTTACCTGATACTTAAACTTCCTATCAAGTTTTTTTTTCCTCCGACTCACTCCATTCTACAGAACCACACCAATCTTCGCTAGCACACAAAACAGATCATATCATTTCCTGCTCAAAATTCCCCATAGACGTCCACTGCACCACCTGGAAATCCATTCTGAGCGATGCCCTGCACAGTTACTGACCCAGCTGCTGCCACCCCAGTCTCTACCACACTCTCCTCGGCTGTCTACTCTGCAGCAGCAAACGGCTGGGAGCCCGGGGTACAGAGGCACCCGGTGTTCACTGGTGCCTCTGAAGTAGAGACAACACTTCCACAGTCAAACAGCCCCAAAACTACCCCGGCGTATGGGGTGGAGGAGGCATTAGCAGAATCCTCGCAAATTTCATGTCCACCCAGAACCTGGGCAGATGAGGTTTGGAAAAAGGGTTTTTGCAGATGTCATTTGCTAAGGACCTCATGAACGAATCATCCTGTACTGGGGGTGGAGGGTTATCCAAAGACTGGCAACTTTACAAAAGACGGGAGAGGAAAGTTTAGTCCCAGAGAAGCAGAGAAGAGAAGGCAGAGATTGGAGTGATACCATCACAACCCAGACATGCTCGGAGCCCCCGGCAGCTGGAAGAGGAGGAACTTTAGGGCTCCAGGAAGGATTCTCCTTAGAGCCTTTGGAGGGAACATGATCCCTGACTTCAGGCTTGCGCTCCAGAGATGCGAGTGAAGAAATTTCTGCTCTTTTATGCCACCCAGGCTGTACTTTATTAGGATGCCACTGAAAACAATATGGCATCCAGAATAAAGTGGCAACTATATCTAATTTTTATTTTATTTAAAAAAATTTTGGGGGGGTACCAGGGATTGAACTCAGGACGTTGCGCTTGTGAGACAGGTGGAAGAACCACTGAGCTAAATCCCCAGCACCATATGCCTAACTTTTAGAAGGAACCATAAGCAAGACTGGTCCCTCAAACAAGGACTAACATGTCAGCTCTGTTAAAAATGCATTTACTTTTAGGGAAGACTGGGAGGGCTGTGAATCTGCGAGCAGCATAGTTCCTTAGGAGCAGGGCATCTGCACAGACACGGGGCTGGGATGGGGCTCCACTTTCCACCCGGCCAATGAGTCACAGAGTAGTAAAAACAGCCAGTCATTAGCCTGACATTGCAGGGCCGGGCACTGCAGGAGAAAGAAAATGTGACAGATGGTATTTATAGTTCACAGACTCAGATCCACAATGGCAAATGGTTCCTCCACAATGCTTTATGAGGTATGTTTCCTAATACCAGAGTGAAATCTGAGTCTAGTATCGAAAGAGAAATCTATACCTTTTAAGACAAATCAGAAATAGAACAGCAGAGGAAGAGCGAGTGCTTACCTGTTCCGCCTTTAATGTCAGTTCAATAAAAATCTGCTGTAATTTTTCATTAACAAAATTGATGCAAAACTGTTCAAAGCCATTTTTCTGGAAGGAAAAAAAAAAAGACTTTCCTGCAATTATTCAGAACAATCATTTAAAAGTCATTTCTTAGTGATTTCGTGAAATGTCTCAATGTGAAAAGCTTCAGCAGAAACACTGGATGGATTCATCAGTAGAAAGAAGCAAAATTTAGATGGAGGAGAAACTAATTTGGTAAAGGTACATAAAGAACTCAGGAAGGCAAAAATGAACCAGACTGGCGTTTTCTTTCTTTCTTTCTTTCTTTTTTTTTTTTCCATTGCTGAGAAGTATTTCCAGCACACCATGGGAAATTCATCACCTTTTGTCATCAGTGATTATTCAAACTGGCCTTACCTGGAATATCTCAAAGCCATAGATGTCCAGGACCCCAATGTTGTATTCTTCGTGGTCCTTCTCCATGGCTTTGTTGATGGACTGGGAGAAAGTAAACAGCAGGCAATTAACTCACCTTCCTCACAGGGGAGAGAGTCAGTGGGACTGGGGTGGGGCAGGGGGCACACACAAGACACCGCACAGCACACACCCCTGCCTGCTAGAAACAGGACAGCGTGACGACGGGTGACCTGCAGCTTTAGAAAGCTGTTAAGTACTCTGGAAAAATCGCTAACATCGAAAGGACGATTGCAGTAGGGGAAAAAAAATGTTTCTTGACGAAAACCATTAATTTCTGGCAGAGTTAGCTTCTCTCAGGAAGTCTTTTTTTATATTGCTGGATTTTTTTTTTAACTTTTTTTTTTTTTTTTGTTAACTCGTACAAGCCTTCAGTTCATAATGATCGCATTCACTGTGGAAGAAGTGTTGAGAAATTAGAAGAAAATGTCACGAAAGATCAAAGTAAAACCTAGTTCTCAGGAAGAGCCAGTATTTTAAATCTCTAAGTGTCACTTCCGATGGCCCCAGCGGGGCAGTTCTTTAGTGAGCTCATCACCGTACGCCAGGGACACCGAGGACAAGGGAGTCCCCGTGCCTTGGAGCTTGCAGAGAAGATGAGCTGTCTACAGATAAAAACAGCAATTATTTTAAAATTGATAATAAGAGCTGCTTACGAGTATTTAACACTCGCCTTTGCCTGGCTTTGCTGAAAGCTCTCTGCATGCTGTTGCTCTCACGGCTCTTTACAATTCCTGTAACAGCAGTGACACTGTCATTATCCCCGTTTTCCAGATGGATGCCTAAGATTGCACCAGACAAGAAGCTCAGCCAGGGACCAAAATTAAGCAGTATGATACCTAAATGTGGGTTCCTGATCACTGCGAGAAAAGGGCATGCAATTCAATGGGACAGGCTTAATTAATGACAGCAGGGAGGGACAGAACAGAGATGGTCGGTGAGGGAGATGAGAAGGGAGGAGCCCAAGAGGAAAATTCCTGGAGGTGGTGAACATCTGAATGTAGAAGCACCAGACATGTTTTCCAGGCAAAGAGCATGACACGTCTTTTGTGAGCGAATGGGTAATGATACACAACACCAAGCCCAGTGCCTCGTACACAGAAGTGCCTAGTAAACATCAGCTTGAATTAGTGTCAATTAAACAGGCATTCATCCACTCTTACCACAGAGAAGCTGAGGGATGACAGGGAGGAAGGCAGAAGTCCAGCGCCGGAAGGAGCCCTGGACAGAGACAAGAGCTGTGGGTTCTAGTCCCAGTCCGAACCACCCTCTTGCTCCAGGGCCTTAGGAAAATCCGCCAACATGCAGGCCTGAGACTTCCGTTCAGTCAAATGAGGCATGTGGACAAACTAACACACGGCCTTGACCTTCCCAAGCAATCTCACCCTGAAGTAGCTACGAGAAGGGCAGACAACAGTCACCCTCTCCTACTCAGCCCAGCTACCCCAACCACATTGCAGGGTCACAGGTGTAACTGCCTGGATTCAGACACACACGTGTCTTAGATCCAATGACCTTGCAGATGTTATCTTGCCTAGGGTCCCCTGGGGGTTCCTAACATGATCTCTAGAAGCCAGAGGAGCAGAATAACTAGGAATTTAGGTGCTCCTAGAACAAACACAGTGCACCCTTGAGTTATGACCAGCCTGACATACAAACAACTTGAGTTATGACCCAAATGCTGGCTGCTTGTGCTTCTAGATGGTCTCAGATACAGATTTAACCCTCAAGAATTCTAGAAGGAACATTACAACGTCCTTTCCTGTGTGGGTTTAACTGAGAAATCCTGGGCCACTGTCTAAGGACACTGCGATCTGCCCGTGTACAGGAGAGAGACTTTGAAGGCTGTGTAGAGGAACCTGAGCCTTCAATGGACCGGACCAACTTGAGTTACAACCAGCTCTCAAGAACAGACCGAGTTCATAAGTCAAGGGTCCACTGCTTACGACAGCAAAGTAACCCTGGGCAAATTCTTTAAGTTCTCTATGTCTCACTTAATTTATGTGTAAAACAGAGGTAATATCTAAGCCAAAAAGTTGAATTAAATGAGTTTTTTTGGTTCTAAAATACATAGTATCTGGAACATATGGACGTGTTTGCTATTATTAGAGCATTTCAAGGCTACAATGATTAATATAGATTGGAACTGTCAGCTCTGCAGTGCTGAAAGAGTACATTTCAGAATATATGTCATACACATTTATATATACTACATGCATATGCATGTAAGTGTGTATGATTATGCCAAAACCCCAAACATCTGTGGGTTTAAAATATATTCAAAGTCTTTGATAGTCTTCCCTTTCAGAGACGAAGCCTAATTCCCCTCTCCTCAAGGGTGGACTTCATTTGCTTCTAATGGACCAAATATGGCAAAGAGACAGGACAGTGGTGCCCCAGTTCACGAACTTAATTTGTTCATCTGGAAAAGATGGCCATGTTTGTGTTTGTGTGAGAGAGATGGCCATGGTCGTGTTCCGAACTGCACGCAGAGCTTGCGAAAACAATATCGTGCCAAATGCTTCTGTTTGTGAACCCAACTGTCTGCAAACAAACGCATCCATGAACTGAGGCGCCACTGTACTTAATAACATGCAGGCCTGAGACTTCCGTTCAGTCAAATGAGGCATGTGGACAAACTAACACACGGCCTTGACCTTCCCAAGCAATCTCACCCTGAAGTAGCTACGAGAAGGGCAGACAACAGTCACCCTCTCCTACTCAGCCCAGCTACCCCAACCACATTGCAGGGTCACAGGTGTAACTGCCTGGATTCAGACACACACGTGTCTTAGATCCAATGACCTTGCAGATGTTATCTTGCCTAGGGTCCCCTGGGGGTTCCTAACATGATCTCTAGAAGCCAGAGGAGCAGAATAACTAGGAATTTAGGTGCTCCTAGAACAAACACAGTGCACCCTTGAGTTATGACCAGCCTGACATACAAACAACTTGAGTTATGACCCAAATGCTGGCTGCTTGTGCTTCTAGATGGTCTCAGATACAGATTTAACCCTCAAGAATTCTAGAAGGAACATTACAACGTCCTTTCCTGTGTGGGTTTAACTGAGAAATCCTGGGCCACTGTCTAAGGACACTGCGATCTGCCCGTGTACAGGAGAGAGACTTTGAAGGCTGTGTAGAGGAACCTGAGCCTTCAATGGACCGGACCAACTTGAGTTACAACCAGCCCTCAAGAACAGACCGAGTTCATAAGTCAAGGGTCCACTGCTTACGACAGCAAAGTAAACCTGGGCAAATTCTTTAAGTTCTCTATGTCTCACTTAATTTATGTGTAAAACAGAGGTAATATCTAAGCCAGAAAGTTGAATTAAATGAGTTTTTTTTGGTTCTAAAATACATAGTATCTGGAACATATGGACGTGTTTGCTATTATTAGAGCATTTCAAGGCTACAATGATTAATATAGATTGGAACTGTCAGCTCTGCAGTGCTGAAAGAGTACATTTCAGAATATATGTCATACACATTTATATATACTACATGCATATGCATGTAAGTGTGTATGATTATGCCAAAACCCCAAACATCTGTGGGTTTAAAATATATTCGAAGTCTTTGATAGTCTTCCCTTTCAGAGACGAAGCCTAATTCCCCTCTCCTCAAGGGTGGACTTCATTTGCTTCTAATGGACCAAATATGGCAAAGAGACAGGACAGTGGTGCCCCAGTTCACAAACTTAATTTGTTCATCTGGAAAAGATGGCCATGTTTGTGTTTGTGTGAGAGAGATGGCCATGGTCGTGTTCCGAACTGCACGCAGAGCTTGCAAAAACAATATCGTGCCAAATGCTTCTGTTTGTGAACCCAACTGTCTGCAAACAAACGCATCCATGAACTGAGGCGCCACTGTACTTAAATCCAAGATCAGGGCCTGAAAAATCTCGTGGCTTGCTGCTCATACGCTGTGCTGTAGAGCACTCACTCTGGGTACCAAGCGCCAGGCTGTGAGGATCCCAGCAGCCCCAAGGAGATGGAAGACACTGAGGCCGCCTACTGCAGCTGTACACAGGGTGCGACTTTCCCCACCTCCCCACCACGGTCAGGCCAACTGCATGCCTGACCAGCATCTCCACCGACCGCCTCCCCTTGGGTCAGACTGCTGAGCTAAGCCGATCTCCGATGCCCGACTTGCAGCGATTGTGAGAACTGTAAAGGCTGACTGTTGCAAGTCACTGTGTTTTGGGTTAACTTGTTATGCGGCAGCGTGTGACAAACACAACATCGCTAAACCTTCAGGCACAGGAGTTAAGAAACGTCTGGCACCATGGATTTCCTCCTGTCCAGTCACTAGTCCCGGCCTTCCTGTGTGTGCTGTCCAGAGGAAGCCGCTGCCACACAGTTAGCTAACGCGACGTGTACAGCGGGCTCCGCAGCAGCAGTGAGAGGATCGGACAGAGAAGAGGCATAAGGTAATGAGGAAGGAAGGCGCCCACGCCTGAGAGCAGCTCTTCGGCAGCTGCCCTCCTCACGGCTTAGAACCCGGGGCTGGCCGTGTCGCCCTCTGTGTACTCACATCCACCAGGAAGTCGAAGACGCGGGCGTGCAGGGCCTTGGCGAGCGCGTCCCTGGTGTAGCAGGCCTGCTCCACGTTGAGGGTCACATGGATGGACTCCGACCTGCCCCCCCACTTGCTGTCCATCTGCCGGCTCGTGAGCTTCTCTTTCAGCCGGTCCTGGTTTATGCCCAGCAGATAGGCGGGAAAAGCCAAAACTGTAGAACAAACGGGATTTGTCTTAGGGACAGTTCGCCTCCCGAGGATGCGGCTGCACTCACGTGTGCGCATGCGTGTCTAGACACAAGCTACCATCGTTAATTTTCCCACACTTCCCCTGGGGTGAAGGCAGTGATCCCGTAGACGTCCTCCGTTCTCCTTCCCAATTGTCCCATGATGTACACCAATTTCCATGACAACCGGGACTTCCAACCGTGGGGATCAGTGATCCCTGAAGGGTGGCAGGCCAACCCCTCCCACGGAGACGACAGTGGAACACCTAAAATGGACATGTCACCATGGAAAAGATGGCCATGTTTGTGTTTGTGTGAGAGAGATGGCCATGGTCGTGTTCCGAACTGCACGCAGAGCTTGCAAAAACAATATCGTGCCAAATGCTTCTGTTTGTGAACCCAACTGTCTGCAAACAAACGCATCCACGAACTGAGGCGCCACTGTACTTATTCGACAGTGGAACACCTAAAATGGACATGTCACCAAGACAGCCTGGCAGGAACTCTATCAAGAACATGTTTTTGGATCCAAATATTGTTTTCTTCCTTTTTGGTGCAGTGTTTTCACCAAAAAGGAATCGTTTCCAAAACCTGGAAGCACCTGTTATGACCAAGTTGATAATTATGACCAAGCAACCTTTTATCAAGTATTTACCTCCACTAGAGTTACTACAAAGAAAAGGATACAAAATATTTAAGAAATCTTGAAAACAATCTAGATGAGTTGAAGACAGTTTTATCAGATTAAAAAAAAAAAATCTCCTAAAAGCTGAATACTTGAAGTAGACAGTCAAAGTCTGGAGGAATTTGGAACATTTACTACCTACAGAGGAAGTGGGAGGAAGGCGGGGCATTTCAGCCTGAAAGGATGGGTAGGATCTGTACCGATACGGAGAAGGGACAGGCAGGTGCACAGATGAGGAGGCAGGAAAACTGCAGATCACACCAGATAGAGCGGAAAGTTATTGTGAGATTCAAAGCTTAGGGTGGAGTGGACCTAAGAGCCCCGTGCCAGGGGTCCTTGGATGGTGAGAAATAACAAGGTGGAAAGCAAAAGGCGACCTGGATGGTTTCAAAAAGGGACATTACAAGAAGATTCTGGGACAGGAGGAGGGCAGGAGTAACACGGAGGAGACCGGTGTTGGCTACATCAGCGCTCACCCTTCTATCCTCACAGCATGTGGCAGGATGGTTTACAGTGTTTGGATAAGAGAAACTGAGACTCTCACACCTTGGCAACTTGATTTCAGGCCCTGAAACTTACCAAGAGAAAAGCTGGGGATATAGATAAATGAAGTTTGTTTGTTTCCTTCCTTCCTACCTTCCTGTGGTGCTAAGGATTGAACCTAAGGCCTTGCATATACTAGACACATGCTCAGCCACTAAGCTACACCCCCAGTCCAGATGAGGTCTTCTTGATTCCCGGTCAAATGCTCTCATACAAATAAATGACACTATTCTTGGGCATGAAAGAATGCTCAGATTTTTTCCAGCATGAAAGATTTTAATAGCTCTAAATGAAAATTCTGAGCTTGCAGCTGAGTCTTCTTCCTCTACATAAACCTTTAGCAAAACTGTCTAGTAAAAGGATTGTGCTGAAGACCTTATGACAATACTCAAGAATCACAAGCCTCCCATTAAAGGGTAATCTGTTTGAACTGCACAGGTAGTGGTAGGATACAATAGGCCGGCATTTCTCAGTATATCTCTTCCAAAGAGAGACAGTCAGCAAATGCATTTTGAAAAGCACAATGCCAGAACAAGGTGTATCTTCTACAAGAGCGCTTCAGAAAAATGCTTTGACCCATGGAAGGGCTTTCTTTTATAATCTGTGAACGAAACCAAATGTGCTGACCTGCTCATGGTCATTTAATATTCTACTAGTTTCCAAATTGACGACATAGATCTAGGAATCTAGACGTGTCTTCCACTGAGCTAAAATTTCCTTTGCACAGTGTATAATATCCATAAATCAGATTGGACAGAAGTACGGTTGCTGAGAGAATCAAGACACTGGCCAAAGTGTGCAAGATATAAGAGGCCTTCAGTACCAAGCAGGTTATGCCTGCCAGCTTTCGGGCAGGTACCGCTCACTAGATGTAGCAGACCTGACCATCAGGGGTGTACAGTATATCCACCAGGGCTCACTCCCTGTCCACGGGTATTACACAGTGAATAGTTTTATACAATGGACAGCCAGCCCCAAGTTTTTTGTTGTGTAAATATGGAATCCTCCCAAATCTCTAATCATGCCAAAATGGGGGCACAGTTATCTGGTGAAACTGTTTATGTCATTATCTTTATGACCTTAGCTAAAAAGTAAAACAGTGGGGCTGAGGGACCTGGACCCAAAATACAGGGAACTGTCAAAGCCACAGGCTATATCCTTCCACCTTTGCATTTCTCCCGTAGAAGAGGACAGAGCCCAAAGATTGCAGGTACTCAAAAAACAAGGTGTGCAATCTGGCCAGGAGTCAGAGCTGCACAAAGGGCAACAGCCAGATTATCCAGAGAAGAAACAGAGCACTTGGGTGGGAAAGACTCCACAGCATGTTTTTCAACCTCCAGCTTTTAGGACCTCATATGTGCTTTCGGCTGTCCTGGTGCTGAAGTTTAGGGCTGCTTGGACAGGCTTCTGTGAGGGTGAATGGCCACAGCCCACTGAGCGTCACATGGGACTCTGCTGGCCTGGGGAAGTTGAGGAGGGAAGAAATAATGATTAATTTAAATATGGGGGCATAACTGGGGTCTAGATATAGAGAGCCGTACAAAACAACACCTCACTAAATAAGTAATGTTTCAGCACATGTAATGAAGATAGGTTTCGATAATTGCCTTAAGTTAGAAGGCAAAATTAGGTTTAATTTTTCTATTTAAATTTGAACTTTAGGGAAGACAGGAAAATGAAAAAGATGTAGCAATATAAAATTCCTTGTTTACGGTAAGGTAAATATGATAAATGGTAAAGTAGATATGGCTTATCTGGAATCCATTAATCATAGGGCCAAGAAAGGGAGTCGTAAGTTTCATATTTTATTTCTTTGTTATTAAAATAGCATTTTTTTCCTTGACTGGCATTTTTACCATCGATTGGTCTGGTATTTCATAGTTTTTGAAGCAAAACTAGTTTCCCAAAGTATGCCCCTTTACCTTATTGATGCTGACAGGCACATAAGAGCCTAAGCTGAGATTTGATTAGCTTCTCAGCAACATTAAAAAAAATGACTATCTCCAGTAGTTAAAGAAATGGCTATTTTACTTAAAAGCCTAGCTATCTTACTTAAGGTAGCTACTGAGAGATGCTTTCTTTGCTTATAAAAACATGGGTAGCACATCCTGCTACCCATCCATTCCACAGATAACACTCAAACACGAGCAAAGTGACACAAACAAGGTTCTTTGTCTCAGTAATGTTCATTCAGAACATCAGAAGCAGAAGCTCCGAAGTCACCTAGATTCTTGGCAACAGAGGAGTAGTTAAAAAAATCAAGGGTAGCCAAGCAGTAGAGAAAGCTACAGAGCTTTAAAAGGACGACAGTCCTTGCGAATTGATGTGAATCTCTCGGATAGGGCACGATGTGAAAAAGCAACTTGTACAACACTGCATCACAGGCTCTCAGGCTACAAAAGTGGGGAAGAGAATGGATGTGTGTGGCTGCTCTGAACACTGACTCCTGGGAACCTTGGTCACTGCTGGGGAGAGGAACAAGTTGACTGCGAGGGGTGGGAGAGAAGAACTTTCATGGTACCCCCAACGCAACCACGTTAATACAGGAGCAAGCAAATGAAAAATGGAGCAGACAGAGGAAAACGCTGGGAGTGGTGCCGACTGTTCTGTTAGACCTACTTGGCTTCAGGACCTGCCCTGTCTGATCTCCACTGCTCCACCAGCTCTGGCTGGGGAATTTTGTAAGCTGCTGCCCGTCTGGGCCTTAACCATCTGGCAGCAGAGGATACTGATCCCGGATGTCTATAAGCAGCGAAACACTTGGCACAGACAGCCAAGGGCACGCTGGCTGCGCTGTGTCATGACTTTATTCTCAAGCAGAGAGACAATAAAGGCTTTTACTATCCAACAGGCAAGAGATACCCAGACTAATTCCACAGGCACTACAAACCAAACTGCTGCTTAGCCATAACACTGGCTAAGTGTGAGTGATGCTTCTACTGGATACTGACGTGAATTTGTTATATGTGAAGGATGAAGGCCATAAAGTCTGTCTGCCAACACTGTTCTTGTACCGTGATTGTTAGGTCACATTTCTGGACACCCTATATATTTATGGTTTTCTACCCACTTCCCAGGGTAAACATAGTTTATCTTTATCAGACAGATGTCAAGATGCTAGCAGAACTCTCCTCTTATGAGAAAAGAAAACAAAAAACATTTTAAAAAAAAGACCCTTATTTGGAATGGAAATATTCCCAGTGCATTGTCAGCAATGAGTGGGATACTATTTATTACTAAGCATCTAAATTTATCATCCTCGAAGAATGCTGAGAAAGGAAGAAATGCCTTCCTGGGTGGTTAAAGGATGTGTGGGTTCTGAGAGCTGCCTGGAAAGCAGCCCCTGCCTGTGAACTGAAGTCACGTGCTGTGGTATTTGTGGTAGGTCGCAGGCACACGGAACCAGAACGTCTCCGCCAGGAGGACCCAGATTTCCTCTCAGAGAGTGAAAATGACCGTTCAGGTCTTGAAGACGCGAATCCCCGGATGTGACTGTTCAAGGCGATCATCAGAAATGTGCCCGCACAAAGTCCACTTTCGTCTGTGTTCAGAAATCTAATCTAATCCAATCCACAGGACAAACTGAAAACCTGCGAGCTTTCCACGTGGATGTATATTCCACCGCTCGCTCTTCAGGACCTTTATGGAAATGCAGGCCACTTATCCCAAGACCAGTGAGAGAAAGAATTAAGATTCTCTTTTGAATTTTAAGCCATTAATCTTCATTACCATATCTTTATCTTTAAACCTCCATGTGCAATTCTGCCAGATGCCTCTAAGTTAGTAATGAAAGGAAACGATCTTGTTGATTATGTACAGAGGGGACTGTGAGACGCTGGTAACGAAGAGGGGGGCAGGTCACAGAAAAGGTCCCTATTTCCCTAAGCTCAGGTTGCTCTGTCACAGCGGGACCGGTGAGACTTTCCACCTCTTCCCCATACTCCGCACTCAAGACCCGAGCCGGGCTCAGGGCTGCGTAAGGAGCTAACTAGTGGGGGAGCCTGGACCCCAGCTCCCGTCACCCAACAACCAGGGACCCGAGCTACGCACACTCTTCACTCTCCACGGCCGCGTAGTTGCCCACTTCCTTGAAGCTGATGTTGCCCAGGTGGAGAATCCCGGCCACAATCTGCAGCACCAGCGTCTGCTCGTCCGAGAAGATGCCGATCACATTCATGGCGTGCTGGGAAACGGATTTAGATTATCCAGACACATTGGTTAGCAGCCTTAAAGCACACAGGAAGGAAGACAGAGCTCAGACCGAGTAGCAGAGTCCCAGTGTGCGTGGCTGGGGTTGC